TCGCCTGGTTTCAGAGGCAAAATCTACGAGAAAATGGACGCCAAATTTAGGTTTGTTGACTTGCAAAGGTTAAGAGTCTTTGGAAACTATAAATTTAGTTTTTGTGCCTTTGATCGACGTTTTTTTTTTAAAGATGATAAAACTCACACATAAATATGATTTAAATTGACCTAAAAGGTGTTGAGCCAAAAAAAAACCCCCCAAAAATCGATAAAAATTACGAGACGGGCGGGAATATAGTGATTTCTGGGATCTCATTACTTTGTATTTTGACGAGCGCCCGATTCCACCAGTGCCTCACAAACTGCCCTCTTTGTGTAATATTGCATTGATTCACCGGGGGTTCTTGTTGTCTAGAGGTCACTGTATTCGCCTGTCTTTCAATAGGTCCCGGGTTCAAAACCTGATCGCAATGGAACATTTTTCTTCTCTATTATGTTCTCCTTTACTTTCACCCCTTTTCCTGCTTTCTAACCATGTTCTGTCGTTTGCTTTCGTATCCAATCTCTACACCCCCCCCCCCCCAACCTCCTTTGACCACTCATCCCGGCTCCTGTCTCATTTTGCCTTTCAACTGCTTTCTGCCGGTAGTAGAGAATCTTTGCTGCAACTTAATTTTACGTATGTGACCGTTTTTCCTACTTCGTAGGGCTCCTTGCCTTCAAGCAGCCCCATTACCATTTCGAAGGTACTTGAGTTTTTATAATGACTATATTTTTTTAATGTTTTGGCAAGAACTGATTTTAAATTTTGCCTGTGCGACGGCAGTAGCGCTCTTATCGATTTCTGAACCATCAGGGGATCTTTAACATGCGCAACTTGTACACGGAAGGTCAGAGATTGTTCGCCCTAATCCAAGAAAGCTAGGTGTTCCATCTTACTCTTACTTACCCAGGGGTGTTTAGTTTTTAGTTTTAGTAAACGTTTTACTGCACTTATAACAATAAGGTCATAAGACCTTTCAGGGGTGTGTCTGAAAAACAGCAGAAAGTAAAGGAGCCAGGAGTAGCAGCAGACAGAGTCAAGAGTAAAGGAGAGAGGAGCCCAGAAGAGGCAGGGGTGGGTCAGAAAAAGAGGAAATGAAAGCAGGAGACGGAGTATGACGAGAGAACAGGAAAGGAGATGAATTGAAAGGAGGACACTTTAGAGAAGAACATTTTTATACGTCGCTGTCAGGTTTATCTCACTTGTCTAGATGATGTAAGCTGTGAGAAAAGATTTGCAATACATTGTAGTATTTTGTAGTAAACCAATGTCTCTGCAAAAACCTTAACATCACAAGAACAGATAGGCAGTGAAATGAAGAAGTAAAGGCAACTATTAGCACAGAGCCCTGCCTGCATTTCATAGAAAGACATAGAAAAAAAAGGTTTGGACACCTGTTACGTACGTCACCTCGCCAGCCAGCCTCGAGAGCCTATAACACCAAGTACTCTGGCTATAAAGGAAGAGGTAGACCATGCTTAAGATGGATAGAGGGAGTCAAGGAAACCCTGAGAAATTAAATAATATCCCAATTGAAAAAGCTGCAGAGCTGGCCTACGGTAGAAAATAGCATCTCCCCTCGACACTTAACGACAACAGAGGATGAAAAAGTAAAAAGTAATAAGTAAACACTGGTTCTACAGCTGCAACTACAATGGCATGCAAGCTCTCCTTTAGAATACTCTACAACAAAGGCAAACTTCTTGGACGACTGTTGGCTAACCAGGTGCAGAAGTCAGTATGTTCTTGGGTCAAACATTTATAAAAGTCTACGTTCCTTTCAGTACAAGAGGACCCTAGTATGAAAGGGGATGAAACTTCTGAAAAGTTTTTTTTTCCGTAAGAGTTTTACGGCACTTGCAACACAATAAGGTCATAAAAGTGCCGAAGATTAGGGGTGTTACAAGGGAGCAACAAACACAAAAAAGAAGGAGGGGAGATAAAGACGATAGATGCTTGACAGGAAAGAAGGAGCAAACCACACCAGAGAACCCGCCAACTACCCACTTAAAAGTCTAGGCAGTACACTGTAAACAGTCTGGCAAAACAGAAAGCTCTTAGAAATCCACCTCCTCCTTCAGCACGCAAGTTAGAGTTATCAAGTACACATGTATTCACACCAGATGAGTTCATTAGGACAACTAAGGTAAGATATATGACAGGATAAGACAATCTTTAGAAAAAATCTTTATTTTTCACATGCTGACACACTGACTTGGTGTTTCCACACACACACACACACACACACACACACACACACACACACACACACACACACACACACACACACACACACACACACACACATGATAAAGTTACATTACAATGTTACAATGATTATACTATACAGTCGAACCTGCCATAACGGAAACCTCAGCAAGACGGAAATCTGTCTTAACGGAATCTCCTCGCTCCCCCCTTGAAAAATTCATCTTTAATTACCTGTATATAACAGAAACCTGTCTAACGCGGAAACGGAAAGAAAAATCTGCTCCCTTCCAAGGGTTTTTACCTGTCTGAGACGGAAAATATTTTGCCCGCTTAACCCTGATTTGAAACAAAAGTATTAAGTTTGGTTACATCAGCTCTAATATTTACCGACGCCAGGTCACCAGGTGTAAGTAAAGGGAAGTAGGAATGCAGTTTGGGGGTAGATTTTATCCATCCATGTGAACCCTTAGCAGTACAGATGGTCAGGGTGGTCTGGGTGCGTGAAATCTCCCAAGTGCCAGTGAAGTGAAAGAGATCGAGTGGCGCTCCAGCACAGAAACTTTCATGGGAGGCCAGAGGCCAGAGGTGTGAAATTAGTTTGACCAATGCCTGCCTCTCTGATCGTAGGGCCAGCCGAAAAAAAAAGTTTCTCAAATCGTTGTTACAATCATGCACGGAAGGGGTGGCATTGGTTGACGGTGCTTATTTAGTTATTACATCAATGGGTGGGGCCCAGGGTGGAAGCAAAGGAGGAGTTCAAATGTTTCTGTTACCCCTATGAAACGCAAGCACTGGCGGCAATGGTTAAGACTGACGCACATCATTACCAGAGACTCGGGGATATGGTAGCATTAGAGAGTGAAGTTTTGACCGGACAAGAAACCGATGATCTCACTGGCTGGGCTTCTGACCCCCCCCCCCCCCCTAAATTCCCCTGTCTAAGACGGAATTTTTTTCCGGCTCCCTTGAGATAAGATTCTGTCTTACACAGGTTCGACTGTACGTATATATGTACATCACAGTTTTTTGCTACTGGCAGGAACTCAAGAAATGCGACTAGTGAGAACAAAAGCTGGAGCTTTGCCCTAATAAGCACAAAACACTGTAACACTTTATGTCTACAACAACAAAGGGAAATCAGAAGAAACGACTCCACAGCACTCTCTCAGAACTGTTTTAAAAATATGAAAACACACACGCACACACACACATACAAATAAACAATCAGGTTCGCCAAATTTTCACAAAATATAGCACAGATACTCTCACACAAGTCGACAGAAATAAAACCAATCCCATAAAAATTTGCAGACCTGCGAACCAATAATACTAGTTTCCCTCAAAATTTCCCCTGAAAAATTTATAAGAGTTTGGGCTTGGGGGGAAAAAATCAGTCTCCAGAACCCCAGAAGAATAAGACTACACAACAAACCGACCGCGGCAAATAGACGTTAATATTGCAAATACACACAACCAAAATAGTGTATTTTTATGTGATTTACAACAAAATTTACAAAAAAAGTCACAAAAACAGTGCAAATAAACTGAAACAAAACAGTGTATTTTTATATCATTTACGATAAGTCGCAAACGACTTGATGAAAATGGAATTCAAGAGAAAAAAAAAAATTAAAAGCAAATCCGATCGTGGTTCTTCCACGAGCAAACAACCCCAAAACCCAGAGAACTTGGCAGGTCTGATTTAGTCATATTTTTTAAAGTCTTGTAACAGTAAAGCATCTTATGAAAAAGATTGACTTTCTGTTACAATAATCTTATACAATGTACATGTATGGAATGTTGATCATTATAAACATCCTTCTAAATTTCATTCTCCGAGAATTTTGAACACACACATATATATATATATATATATATATATATATATATATATATATATATATATACAGTCGAACCTGCCCTGATGGCCACCTCTATAAGATGGCCACCTGTACAAACGACCACTTTCCATTCCCCCCTTGCGTTTTTTCTATATAATTTAACTGTGTAAAACGGGCACCTGTCCAACGCGGCCGCGGCCACAATAATCTAACACACAACCCCTATAATACTAAGCAATAACAGCTGTCTTAGACGGCAACCTTAGTGACTCCATTACGTTTTGTCATAAATTGTGCACTGGCCCCTGGCGTTGTGGGCGAGCCGTCATAATTCAATCACCTGTCGTTGTTGTTAGGTAGTCCCTCCAACCGATCATGTTGCGTATGCCCCTCCCACTGTTGACCTAGCTACCAATTTTCAGCTGCTGGTGAGGTTAGCGAGTGATCCCTCATAGCCCATAAGCCCTGCCCAGAACTCATACACAAATCGTAAGTGAGATGAGTGGTCACTGTTTACCCAGTCTGTAACAAAGTAACAAAGGGCGTCAACATGAACTTGTGACAGAAGCGTCGCTCGTTCTCCGAGTGGTGGCGACCCGTGTGTTTGTTTTAACATGGCACTCCTTGTCTGATACATTTCGTTTTATTGTCACCCTTGTGCAAAATCAGCAACAAAATAAAAATTACAAACGAAATACAAACCAACAACAACAACAACAACAACAAAGACAACAACAATGGGGCTACTTTCGATTGGGACCTCAGATGGGAATGGTTTGTTTTCTTCATCTTGATCAGTCCTGCCTGAGACGGCCACCTGTCTTATACGGCCACTTTTCTCCTTGACAATGGGTGGCCGTCTTGCACAGGTTTGACTGTATATATATATAATAAGTACTGTCGATCATTGTAAACATCCTTCATTTCATTCTCCCAGAATTCTGAACACAAACGGTAAAGTCATCAACTTTAGCAAAGTTTACTGTACAATTAATCTCATAGAAAGGGCCCAGGGGCTATACTGATGTACCATACACAGGAGGTATGTTTAGAACTGTACGACTGGACACTTCAGTAAGACTTGGATACTTCAGACAGGTTTGCCGTCCACCAATATTCTTACACTGTGGGTAACACGCTGCACAGGAAGAGTGGTCAGTAGCCATCTTGGTAATAGCTGCCAGCAAAGTTGTGCTCTCCATCTTTCAAGATCTTCAAGAATCAACATGGGAACAGCTGATTTTGTTTCCTGAATGAAGAACAAATGGGAATCATTCAACAAAATACAGTAGAACTGCAATAAGGGTGCATCTTACAAATTGTGCTCATATCACGCTTTAAGGACAAGCGGGTTATCCCGAAAAATGCTGTTTTAAGAAAATCGAAGTTAAAGTTTTTGGATTCTTATTCAGTCTCTTTAAAAACAAGGAGAGTTTTCTCTATAAACAAAAAAATATACACACCAATGAAACCAAACTTCTCCTATAGGTAGGGTAATGCCCACTTTTGGTGTAGGTCAAGATTTCCGGAAATCCTTGAAATCTGGGTTAGCCCGCTTGTCCTTAAAAGCGACCAATTATGCTCTTCCACTTCAATTTCTGAGGACAGTATTTTCACTTTTTCAAAAGTAAAATTATGATGCTAATGAGCACACATATTCGGTTTGCTCCTAACGAAGCCTTTGGGACAAAAGCTGAGCTTTTGGGTTTGAAGTTCAAAAGTAAATTTCTAATAAAATCAAGTCTGTGTTCAACTCTTTTCAGTAAATGGTGCACGATGATTTAGACAAGCACAAGAAGAAACAGTTTTAGTTTTAGTAAGTGTTTTACGGCACTTGCAACACAATAGGGTCATATAAGTGCCGAAGATTAGAGGTGTTACAAGAGAGTAACAAACACAAAAAAGAAGGAGGGGAGATAAAGACGACAGATGTTCGATTGGAAAGAAGAAGCAAACCACACCAGAGCACCCACCAACCACCCACAGAAGAAGAAACAGTAAAAGGAGAGGCAGAATGATGGATAGGAGCTTAGCGTCAAGCCAGTCCAACTACCACAGACAGTTCTCAGTTCAGTTTTCACAGTTTCTTTTAAAAGATGCAGAATATCTGATTTCAGGTGGGCACCTTGCTACTACAAGGCCACACAAGACGGTGAATTACGGCTGAATTTCAGTGAAACAGATTTCCTTCGAAGGTGCATAAGACGATGTCTGAAGGAGAATCATTTTTTAAAAGAAGTCCACAAAAATATCTGCCAGCACTCAGTAAATTTACTGAGATCCATTTTCAATAGCTGTCAGTTTATTACGGTTTGTAGAGTTACTGGCCATAAAAATATTGAATATAGGGATGTTACTAAAGTGTGATGTACAAAGAAAAGAAGGAAAGATAAGAACTTCAGACGTTTGATAAGAAAAAAAAGCAAACCACACCAGAGCACCTTCCGACCACCCATTTTTCTTTAAATCTAAAGACTCCATAAATATACGTGTCACCATACGATAAATGTACTGCGATGAGCATTAAATGGTTCACTACCTTAAAATTACAAAGTTCTATTAGCTCAGTACCTAGTAGGGGCGGGCACGAGACGAGCCGAGTACCCGTTTCTCGCGGGTAGCGGCCTTCTCGTCACTTCCCGAGCACTAAACTACTGCTCGGTACCGAGACGTGATACTGCTCGTTGGCTTGAAATAACAAGTAACAGTAACGAGAGTGAGAGAGTGAGAGGCGAAAAATGATAACGCAGACAGTGTCACCCATCACCGTGCCGTCCTGTGTGTGAAACTGAAAGGGAGGGGAGAGGGTGGCGAGACGAGGCGAGTGGGGAGTTGATCAGGCCCTAGGCCTCGGTCTCCCTACCTTCCTTCACCGTCTGCGCCTGCGCAAAAGGGCAAGCCTAGTTTCTAAGTTTAGATCCCCGTCACGACGGTCTTCTCGCTAAACGAGCTGCTCGTTCTGTGGGGCGAGAAGAGAAATCTCGGCCACGGCCGGCCTTCTCACTGAACGAGTGGCTCGAACTGCGGGGCGAGAAGAGAAATTGGTCATGAAACGAGAAGTACTGCTCGAGAAACGAGACGGGAAGTATTTCTCGTTCCCGGGACCGGTCTCGGCGGGAAGTAGGTCAGCTTCCCGGTCTTCTCGCTCGGGAAGGAAAAAGCGCTTCCCTCCCGTCTCTAGTACCTAGTTTTGAGAAATTTTGGGATTCACAACATGCCAACCAAGCTTTATCAAATGCAGTTCTTCGAACATCTTGATGACGACTCCAAATAATCAGACAATTTTGATAGAGCAGATAGAACAATTGGTTTCTGACCTCATTGTCTTACTAACTCATCACGGCCATAAATGTCAGATAGAACTCTGTGATTCTGAGGTAGCAAGTTGTCATGCCAAGGAGTAGACAAAAAACAAACAAAATTTTGGGCATAGTACACCTGATAGTTTCAGTAAGAGTTTTACAGCACTTGCAACACAATAAGGTCATACAAATTTCAAGTGCCGAAGATTAGAGGTGTTACAAGAGAGTAATAAACACAAAAAAGAAGGAGGGGAGAGAAAGACGATTGATGTTTGATAGGAAAGAAGAAGCAAACCACACCAGAGCACCCGCCAACCACCCACATAGTACACCTGTGGCGTCTTGGGCATAGATAGTGGTTAGACAACCGGACTCGTAAACGTGAGGTTGCGGCTTCTGGGGTTCGAGCAGCGGTCCCGACGTAGTGTCCTTGGGAAAAGCACTTTACACGAATTTTCTCCACTTCACCCAGGTGAAAATGGGTACCCAGCTATAGACAGTGAAAAATCTTGTCATTTTGTTAGTGTTTGAGCACTAAACCTGCTGCTTGCACTGTATGCTTCCCAGGAAGCTGAGAATGTTTCAGAGTGTTCTGTGGTCAGCTGGGGTAATAATATAGTGTAAAGCACATAGAGCTTGCTTTCGAGTGGGGACATACGCTATACAAATGCTATTTATTATCATTATTACCTGAACAGCCAGTTGGCCGACATCATAACCTACATCAGTGCACCCATCAGACAACAACCAATCCCTTTCCAGACACAGAATAGGCCATTTCTGAAGACAGATCTTTTCCACTGCTCAGCCAGTGTGAGACTCTGTCACCAGTCACTTTTCACAATGGCGTACGGCGGAGTCTTATACTTTAAGCAGTTGCTTTGGTCTCTTTAACCCTATCCGTACGCCTGGGGTCATTTGTACCCCAGGGGTTGTATTTTCCACATATTAGAATACTTCTAGTGCAAAGATCTCTTTGAAAATTTGTCGTGATTTTTTTTAAAAAGGTATAAAATTCAATGTTCAACAAATTTACATAAGCGAATAAGAGACACCATATTGACAATTGCTGCAATTTACAAAACAAACAGTCTTAGCAGTCACCTAACTAAAAATGATCGGAATCAAAAAGTTATCAACTGATTTCAAGGAAATTTTTTGTGGAACGGAACAAATGGCTACTCATACACGCTTAAGCCGGTTCCCGTGCCTTTAGCGGCATTTATACAGACTCTATCGGCGATAATGACGTTTCCATGTTTTCCACAGGAAACGTCTCACAGAACTGACAGTCAATCCCATATTTTTTAACGAGAAACGCCTTCAGTGAGTTAAAGAGGACAAACCAAGAGGAAGCATTCTGGGAATAACAAGAAATACTGGACCCAGTTGGATACAACCTTCCACTCTCCACGTGAAAGTCAAACTTCTTACCTTATGCACCACAGAAGAAGTTTAAGTAAGTGTTTTACGGCACTTGCAACACAATAAGGTCATAAAAGTATCGAAGATAAATTAAAGGTGTTACAAGAGGGTAACAATATCATTCGTGGGGAACGCTGACCAAGATGGCCCAAAACAGATAGAGCTGGAGATCCTTTGTTGCTGCCCTAAACGCCAGATGGCGTAATGGGTAGTAAGTAAGTAAGTAAGAGGGTAACAAACACAAAAAAGAAAGAGGGGAAATAAAGACGACAGATGTTCAATTGGAAAGAAGAAGCAAACCACAACAGAGCACCCGCCAACCACCCACAGAAGGATCTTTTGAGAGAAAATAAAGTGAAAATCTTAAAGAACGAGCAATTCTAAACATACCTGTTCCAAGAACGTCTGAGTCATTAAAATCCTCCTCTATCATCTGACACTCCTCAATGCTTGACATCCTGTAATGGAGAGTGAGATGAATTTCAGTTTGTAATTCAGATCCTGTAAGAGTAATAGATATTATTTGTATCGTACATGTCCCTGATCAACAGCATACTTTATGAGCTTTACGAACCCTAGAAAGCTCCTAAACATTCTCAATTTCCTTGGAAGCATACAAAGCAAGCAGCCAATTAAGCGCTCATACACTAACAAACTGACAAGATCTTTCATTGTCTACAGTCGAGAATTTATTCCCGCCCAGGTGAAGATAAGGAGATTCTTGTAAAGAGCCTTTCCCAAGGACACAATGTCAGGTCCTGATGGAGTTTGAACTCGTGACAATTGCCACCCCAACAGCCTAACCACTGGACCACAGATGCCATACAGTCTAATTAAAAAGACTGTTTTAAACTTGATGTTTGGCTGCCAAAAAAAAAATATGCGCCTTTTCCCTCTGTTTGTAACAAGTAATACATAAAGGTAGAATCTGTCCAAATCAGACTTTCCGAGTCAAGAAATTACCAAAGATATATATATAACCATTCGTGCAACTGCACAAAACAAAAATGTTTGTGACTTTGGAAAGTCTAATGTTTATCTTATTGCTATGGGATGTGGGCAGGGAGAATCTACGTTCGATAGTTTAGGATTTTTGACCGCACTATAGACGGATCTAAAGATATATACCTTAGTTCAACCGATTGGCTTCCATTGTTTTTCTATGACTCAATTTGACCTATAAGTGATGTAAGACGAAAGATAGAGAGGTTTCTGTGCAGTTTTTGGGGGGCGGTTTTAAAAAACAACAAATTAATGTATCTGAGTGTTATGTGTTTAGAATGCAAGTGAGAACAAAAGACTTGAGCCTTGTGGGTGATTTTTATAATAATACTAATGAAATACTACTACTACTAATAATAATATAAAAAATAATGATGATGATGATAATAATAATAAAAATAATAATAATAGTAATAACAGGAATCTATTGAGCACCTAATCCTTAGAAGCCTGTAAACAGTGTACAACGCAAAATTATCCCTCAACTATCTGACAAATCAAAAGACAGAAAATGTATATTGTGAGGTCAAGTAAAAAAACACATGCGCGCGTACGCAGGCCGACAGGCAGGCAGGCCGACAGGCAGGTAGGCATGCACGCTCAGACAGAATTTACTGGCAAAGGACAGTGTTGAATAAATGGGGGGTTTTTATTTTCATGGAGAGCAAGACAAATGAACAAGCTTTAAGTTGAAACCAATAACCCCACATGCCCAAAAAAGACGAGTACCTGATTGCACCACGTTGTGACACATACGTACAAACACAACACACACAAAACGCACACAACACACACACATTCATACACTCTAAACCTGCTTAAGAAGGTGAGTAAAAAATATTTGAGCGGCTAATCTTTCTTGCTTCAGTGTGACATACATTTATTATATTTATTCTATACAACCAATATGCGTTCTATTTGGCAGGGAATATGCCAAAGATAGTCGGGGTGACCACCAAATTTTACATCCATCTTTGACAGGACAGAATCAAGTAAGCAGAGAGCCATGAAACTCCCAAAACTACCCAAGTTAAAGAATGCCCCAGTGAGGATTCAAACTAGAATCATTCACACCACAAACTAACTGTGCTCCGACTTCTGTGACTTTGAGGGTGGAGTCAGAAGAAGTAGTAGTGGTAGAAAAATCACCTACTTGAATCTGACACAAGTTTTCCCTTCCAGCTGTTGTTCCTCAACCTGTCGAATTTTTCCATAAGGAGACACCAAGTCATGCAACAGTTCCAGTTCAAAGGTCAACGGGAAATGTCTCATCTCTATCACATGGGGAGGCTTGACGTTCCAGAGTGCAGACTCCGACCAGCTCACACTGACACCCTCACCATTTGCTGAAGGAGCCATCTTTTTGTCCTGAAATAGAAACAATAAATACCTCAAAGTATGGTGTTATGTTGTTGTTGTTGGCGATCCAGTAGCATCTGAGCGTTAACTCTTCAGCATAATGCCATTCTGTAATAGCTGCATGTCTGTTCTAATTGTTGTCTAGAGGCGTAGAGGCAGTTAGATGTGTGGGGTAGCTTGGGCAGAAAACATCCCCTTAGATCAGTTAGTTTTCTACAGAAGAACAGATGATGTTCCACTGTCTCTGAGGGGTAGTCACATAGTGGGCAGGCAGCAGACTGCTTTACTCCAATTTGGTTGAGATGTCGGTTGAGGGGTACATGTTGTGTTCTAAGTTGGAAGATTATGGATTGATCTCCCCTCTTGAACTTATTGATTATACCTCAATGTACCATAACACCAAAAAGTGAGACGTTGACTACTACACAATTGAAAATATGTGATGCATCAAGGTGAAATCAGGCGCTCGTCAAAGTAATGAAACCAAAAAAATCTGCATTTTTATGAACGTTAGGCAATTTTTAAAATATTTTTTTTTTGGGGGGGCGGGCTCAATATCTTTAATGTCCATAAAGAAATGAAAGTTTGGATTTAACAGAAAAATGTTGATCAAAGGCACAAAAGACGTTAATTTGCATTTTCCAAGGACTCTCAAACTTTGGTAGTCACCAAATTAAACTTTGTCGGCCAATTTCTTGCCAATTTTACTTCTGAAAACAAGCAATATCTCCTTCAATTTCAAATATTTGGACATGTATTCAAGACAGATGTGTAATTTTTTAAATGAGAGCAAGATAAATGAACAAGCTTTATGATGGATGATACCAATAACTCCACATGCCTAAAAATTGACGAGCGCCTGATTCGACCACGTCGCGACACACATATAAAATGATCCTTGCCAACTGAGAAGTATTCAAAAGTTTGCAAAAACAGCAGGGCCAGTCAGAGGGAACCGTAACGGAGCCCAAAAAAAAATTCCATCTTAGACATTGTTTTTGTTATTTTTTAATACATGTATGTTGTGTCCCCTCATTTTGCTTTGTTGTATGGGGATTTTTTTCCTTGCAGGTGGGGTGGGGGGGGGGGGGGGTCACCTCTTCGGTTTGAGTTCCAGTTCCAAAATCAGTTGCGAGCTTGGGACTGCCATAAGGCCCATTAAAGAGGCTAAAAAAGGCCTATACGTTGTGGTCCTGAAAAGTATCTTGTGTTCACTTGATTCTCTATTCCGCTTTCGTGGTTGTACACTCCAGAATTTCAAAGGAGTGAAATCAGGGCACACGGTTAGTGAACGGAAACCTCACTTGTTTACAATGGCGTCTTAGAAGACGAGATTTTCCCAAGATTAAAACTCTGTGTGGACGAAACAAAGTCTTTGGAAAATCGGGGAAAGCAGTTTGTGTGGATTTTTTAAAGTTAGGTCCTAGCCACATGGATGCTGTGGACGCCTGCAAAAGTTTCAAAGGTGTGGGTTAGGTAATAAAGGAGGAGTTTGTGCACAAAGCCTCCCAAGTCCACTTTTATATATCTAGATATATAGAGATATATATACATATATATATATATAGAGAGAGAGAGAGTGTGTGTTCATGAGTAAACAGTGCGTACTGCAGTGCCTCCTAAAGGGACAAAACCACCACATGTAGCACGGGAATCCTTGGGGAGTTTTAGCCAAATTTGCAAGTGGTCCTTAACTTATCTTGAAGTCTGTATATGATTTCATGCATGCCATAGCCCTTCCTGGGAGTAAAGAGGATGTTGAAATTGAGTTAAAAGAAAAGTTTAAAGAAAAATGCCTCTTTAGTTTGTCAACTTTTCAAAACATAAATAAAAAGATATTCGCATTTTAAAACAGTAGCCTACTTCCAAGAAAGATAAAAGAAAGATTAAATACATAATACAACTTCTTGCTCAATAGACTAAAAATATTCACAAAAACTTTTACCTCTACATTTTACTCAAATAATAAACCATTGAATCTGCTTAAACCAAATTCTGTGGGAACGCCAGATCTTCTTCGGTTTAACCCTGTTTTTGGTTCAGAGAAATTGCTCAAAGAGATCTATATAAACAAAAATAAAAACAAAATTTTTATCCTATTTGGTTCCAGTGAATTCCACTGTTTTTGCTTTAAACCGAGGAAATTTAGACAAAAGGAGTTCCATGTGTCATGCAGCACAGTAATCAAGAAGTAGAACACTAGTTTCCATTGCAAAAATCATTGTTTTGTTTCAGTAGAGGTTTTACGGCGCTTGCAACTGTATAAGGTCATATGAGCGCCAAGGGGTGGATGTCAACAGAGAAGTCCTTACAGGGAATCAGACTTACTCTGCTTACCTCTCTAGCTTCAATAGCACAAAGTCTGCTTCGACTATCAAGGCACCCTGGAAATAGCGGGTCACAAGAGTGTGACAAACATACCAAAGAATAAGAGGAAAAATGATGATAGTTGATAGTAAGGATTAGGAAAGAAAAAGCAGCAGTTCCCTGTTGCTGTTCAGGCAGTTATGAGCATGACATTGATGAATCAGCCCATTTACAATTACAATTCTACTGTGCATAAGAACATGGTTGTAATAAAGTAACAATCAATCTGTGTAATAATCGTACTGAATAGAGGGATATAAATCTTCTCAGTGGTAACCTATTAATTATCATGATTGTGTCCCCTTTGGCCACTGGTCTGTTGTAGTAACTCGAATAAAGTTCAGTTCTGGTGTACCCTTGATGGCTGCCTCCATGTATTCAATGAGCTGTGTGCTTGTAATAGACCATCAAGTCAATCTATTACAATGGTTAACGTCCCCCCTTTGGGAATGGCCTAAAGACCTAAAGGCACTGCAGTCAGTAGCACCGCAACGGGGAATAAAAAATCATTACATACCTCCCCGCCCGTCCAAAAAAGAAAAAGATAGTATTCAGTTACAGATCTTTCAATTAATGAAAGAACACAATAAGTGTTTTCTTTTCACTGAGCTCGCAACTTCATAAAGGTAATATGAGCGAGCGGGAGACATTAAACATATTTCAGTTGGTAGGAAATTTTTTATTTTGCCCGCGTAAAAAAAACATGTCAGCAAAAAAAAAAACATGGAGCTTTTTCCACCAAAGAGAAGGGAAGCAGATAACTGATCATCAAACAGCTGAACCTACTGCTTTCTTCTGTGCAAGCCCTCCTGGTCGAACACCAGACACCATCTCCTCGTTGGAAACTCTTGAGTCAAGTCCCAAAGCATCTCCCCGTCCTTTCCCTCTCCGCCTGATAAAGGGGGCCAAATCTTCACTGCAAAAACTCTCCTAGACAGATAACACAAAAAAATATGAATTTCAGCAGGCATTCTTACACTCACACATAAAAGAAAACAACGTGAAAACAAAAGTCAGCATTTTGGAATCTGTCTAATGACTTCAAGTTCAGAACCAGAAGCTTTTCAGACTTTTCTAGACTTCTTCTTTAGAAGATCTACAGATAAGGGTTCAGCTGAATCAGCATTATTACAGAAAGGTAGAAAATAGCCATACTTTCTCATCGGTATGGTTGTAAAAAATCATTTCCAATTTTAGACAAGTTACGTGTTTGATTTCAGCACCATTGATCGCATGCAATGTAATATTTGTCAAAAGATAGATGTGAAATGTGTCCGATATTACTTTAATAACTCAAGTTGAACATCCTCACTAACACAATTTAGATTATTTAGGAGGCAGGCAGCTTCAACCTAGGCAGGGGAGAACACAACATGCCAGCAGAAAGACAGACACAATCTTCCCCACAGAATATCAAACTCAGATACACACATGGAACCTCTAGACGAAAAAACCTCATACGCAGGAGCTAACCATCAGCCAGCTCTGCTATACGCTGACAGAATGCCTTTTTTTAAATTCACAGTAGTCTCCGGAAAAACGCATTTCATCAGCGTAACCAATAAAGAAAAGGTGTTTTTCCTAAATTTTAATTTTAATTTATCAACAAGAAGTCACAGTTTCAGTTTGAATTTTTCACACAAGTAGGGTAACTGATCAGGCTATCGATTTTGATTTAGCAAATAAAAAAATTTGGCGCCAAAAGAAAAAAAAGTGTTTTGTCAGCTTCCAGCAGAGCTGTTATTCAACATTTTGCAGGAAACAAGGACAAAAAGCTCTGCTTCAAAAACACCTATGAATTCTTCAGAGGCCTTGAAACATTTTCCAAATCTGCAAATGAGGAAAGCATTCTCACCATTTGATCTAAGTGATGACAAGTTTGTGGGACACAAGGTATTTGAATCTCACACATCTTGACACCGCGGCCGTAGCATGACGGCATCACATACTGCCTCTTTTCCTCTATATCCTCATCATGTGTGTCATTTAACAAACTGTCCAATCCCTGAAACCCGTAGGGTAATTCTGATTTTCCATCTTGTTGCATCTTGTTTTGAAGTTGCAGAGGTCTCTGAATATACTGAAAAGAATAAGAAATTAGTAAGGTGAATAAAATTGTCATCTGTTCCTTAAAGAAGTGTATCAATCCCTTGAAACAGATTTGTAATATTTGCCTTTAAAAAGTGCCCGATTGTGAGTACCTCTTAGTATTTTTTACTTTCTTCCAGATTTGTGAGTTGAGATCAACTTCAGAAACCTAGCTTAAAGCAATCTAATCTTTCATCTACTCTTACAGTTCTGAGAGCTTTTAGTTTGCCCAATTACAAATATTGTAAATTTTTTCCTTAGTATTTGAGAAAATCTACCAGTCTGCTGTTTTTAAGCTTTAACAGCATTTTCGCTTTCTTGAGTGAACCAGCAAATTATTTTTTCAGGCTTTTTTTTCAGATGTCATGAAAATTTACAGGAAACAAAAGGGAAAAGACAGAAGATACATCAAAGCAAATGTTAACCATGCACACATGGAGATGATATGGAGTGACATTTCACCATAATTTAATGGTTTGTATTACGGTACCTCTTGTTTTAGGAACAGTGAGTTAATTTGTTTTAGTGATATTACCTCCTACTCACAAGGTAATGATTTATATAAAACAAATCTCGAACAGGAAAATCACGAATTCTCAGGTATCTCAAACATAATGCTCGGTCCCATTTCAGCCCCTATGTTTTCATTGTATTGACTTCACAGAGTTCCCGAACACTCGGAACACACAACACTCGAATCTTGAACAAATCCACTTCGCATTCTCAACTAAAGGCCCCACTTTACAGCTTTTTAAGCTACAGGTAGGTGTTTCTTTGTTATTGTTTCAGCCAAAACGTGGTCCTTGTCTCACCACGAGAGGTTGGAGGAAGGGGGGATGCTGACCGCACCGCATGACTGGCTCGCTAGGCAAGCAATCATGCTTGCGCGGTGCGGATGGCAAGAGGGGAGACTTTCTGTACGCCAATGAAAGGAGAGGACAGGAATGATGTAGAAGTCGGCTGTACACAAGTGGGAATTTCTCCTTTCCACTTTTATTCATCCTCTTGCTTTCACACTGTCGACACGTTCATCAAGGGACCTATACACGTTAATTGTTTTAATGCTCTTTTTTTACTTCCCCTGATTTTCTCTCTATTTCTTTCTATTTGGGGCTTTCATGGATATATGATGAATTACGGAAATCTCGAACACTATTTCCAATCCCCGACGAATTCAAGTTACTCGTGTTTGACAGTAGCAAAATAGTTCAGCCACTTCTTGAGATACGAGAATATTCCCAGACAAACCAGCACTGTGAGCCTAAAATATAAGACACTATGGCTAGAGAAACAGAAAAAAGAGCACAACATCGCTGGATCGACCCTGTAAAGGACACTATCAGGGCCAACAACCTGACCATCCTCCTTGTCACTCAACTTGCAGAGCTGACAGACAAAGATAACAATTCATTTCTTCTTGCTACGCCCACGCCCACCGGTCTCAGGAAAAAGAGAAGGTAAGAATAAAAGACTTATAAAAGTCAGTCAGCAACATTCGCTATTCAACATTCACAGCACTGTTTGTGTAGAAAGAAGGACTGTAATTTTAGCCAGTACAGCTGAGTATTCAATCTCTCTTTTCATTGGGATTAACAACAGGACCTCTCCATTTTGCATCCATCCACCTAAACTGTTAACAGATAACGCAAGTGTGGCAGATGATAGCAGTCCCCCCTCCCCAGGCTTCCGTATTTCGGAAAAATACAGTTATTCAGTGGTTTGCGTACTTCCGTGACATTTGTTCACACAAGCTGGAGGAAACTCACTTTCAGACAGATGGTGTGGGACAGAATGTAGAGATAGACGAAAGTTTAATAAAAAGGAAAAACAAGGTGGGGAGAGATGTACAACAGAGGTGGGTGTTTGGGGGAGTGAATATATATGAGCACTGGGAAAGGATTTTTGGAATTAGTGCCAGACAGAACTGCTTCCAATCTCGAAGACTATAAAAAGGCACATTATTGCTCCTGGCAGCATCATAAACAGCGACAGGTTTGCTTCTTACAATAATATTGTGAATATTCCCGTCGGGCAGGGATACAAACACATTGTTGTCATTCATTATCATAAAACTTCATCGACACCATAACCGGTGCGTACACAAATAAAGTCGAAAACTAGAGGAAAATGCAAAGAGACGATTCAAAGCTATGAGTGGGACAAATGAGGCCATGCTCTCATCCCATTTGGATGAGTTTATGTGGCGGGGGGAGTTCAGAAAGTTTCCAAAGGATGCATTCAACAACATTGTCGATCATATTCAACAGTGGTATCCTGCTCTGTAAGGTAAGCTTATAACATGATTTTCAAAAACAATTATTCTATTTTATTGTGCAGTTTGGCATCGTATGCCTTGAAAATCTGGCCATTATTGTCACCCGGAAGTGTAATATTATTGTAGGCCTATTCAAGAAGGCCGCACTGTAAATAAAGGACCAGGACCAAAACATTGAGGTATAACCCAAAGAAGACCCACAAGAATAACAAAATAGAAACAAAAACCAGCAAGTGAAATTTGTAAAAAAAATATTAAACAACCCCCCCTCTTTTTTTTCTCCAAGCGACCCACTGCGATAGACAATTTGATTGAAAGAGAAATATTAAATAACAACTTACAACCTCCCAGCCGTCGACCTCCCAGCAGTCGACCTCCCAGCTGTTGACCTCCCACCCATTGACCTCCCAGCTGTCGACCTCACACCTGCAAAGTCGTCGTCCGGGCCAAGCAACATCGCCATGGCGGTGGACCAACTTGTTGACTTCATTATTTCAACTGGTTGGTCTGCCTCGGACATGTACAGTGGAACTCGGATTCAATGAGCTCGGATTCAACGAGAACTCGGATTCAACGAGAGGAGATAGATTCCCCGTTTTTTTCCTACTTTCAAATCAATAAAAATAACCCGGATTCAACAAGCACTTAAATTAGCGAGCTCGGATTCAACGAGGTCGCTTCCAGGGCGAATAGCCCCGCAGACGTGGCTTCGCTAATTTTTCTCCCATAACAAACTTTATTTATTCCCGGTAATCTTCCATTGCACCTGCATCGTGTACTATTATTCACTTAGCCAATTGCATGCGACCAATCAGTGGCCTTTTTTCATACAAACACACATGCGTTGTTGGAACGCGCACGTGTCTACTCTAGTGTGTGTCGGGGTCGGATGGGCGGCCTGCACATGTGTGACTGTGTGTGCGTGTCGGGGAGGGGGTGGGGGGGGGCACCAGCTGTCCGGGCATTGAACGTCGCAGATACAAACACGTCACAGTCTTTATTTTCCCCTCGGCAACTGATCATTATTACAAAGATAAGCTAGTCTTGACATAGATCTACGTAATGAATCGAGCGCTGGTTTAGGGAATCAAAAGTTGCCGTATGCTAGGCTCTACACAGCAACACAACTTTTTGGCAAACAATCGAGACGACACAGACGTGCATTTGAGCGAATCGGTCTTTTTTTTACACAGATCATAATATGCAGGCATTTCAGGCACTACTTGTTACATTGTACTTCTCTTTACACATTACTTGCTCAGTGCCTGTAATTATCTACACAAAACCTCATATTTGCTATAACGAGCACTCGGATTCAAAGAGATTTTAGGTCAGTCCCGGCGACCTCGATGAATCCGAGTTTCACTGTATAACGTCAGGAGATGTCAATGGCGGAACATTCCCCCAGGTCCAAAGGACACAGTCTAAGCAATATCTAGACTTGTACGATGCCACTGTCCCCCCTCCCACTTTTAACAACCTCCCCTTGCCCCAGAAAAGTTCATCCAAAAATTCAGTACACAGGATTCAGCCCCCAAAATACATGTCTCGAGAAAAGTATAAGGAGTTCGAGGAGGGAAAATAACGAGAGGAAAGGGAAAACAAAGCAGCAGTAGATGATAGGAAGAGAGAAAGGGTGAGAAAGAAGGCAGAAAAAGGTGCAAAGAAAGAGAAAAGGAGACTAGAAAGATTGGCAAACAAAGAGAAAAAGGACAAGGAAAAAAAGAGAGGCAAAAAGGAAGGCTAATGCCGACAACAAACGAAAAGGAAAGGGCTTAAAGAAGAGGAAGACTGAGGTTATGGAAAATGAGGGAGAAAGTGATCAGGGTGACTCGGATGCAATAGAGTACATGGACAGTTCAGATGAGGAATGCATGGCAAGTTCCTGAGCATATGATGTCTGAGTATGAAGAGAGTCGGTGTTTTGAATGTGGGAATGACAGGAACTTGAATGGATGGATTGGGTGTGATCAGTGTGACAGATGGTACCACAGAAGCTGTTCAGGAGCACAGATGGAACTGATTGCGGGTATGACTGAGGAGGAAGTGAGTGAATTTAGGTTTGTTTGTGATGTGTGTATGCCATGAGAATGAGAGCCTGCAGATTTTGATTTTGTTCAAATTCCTAGCAATTTTTGTTGGGTTTTTTTGTTTTTTAGATACTTTGTTGTTTTTCTTGTTGTATTTTAATCAAATAAATTCCAGTTCACTGTTTTTCTTGTTACCACCTGTCCTTATAGTTCGCTGCTTTTTTTTTTTCTGTAAATTAGTGTAAATTACCATTTTACAATGTTGTGCTCTGAAAGTGGGGATGGCAGGGTGTGAATGGTGTGACAGATGGTGTGTTTGTGAAGCGAGATTCTAGTCAAATGTAAGAACACAGCTGCGGAGGAACGTTGGCGCAAGTGACTGAGTGCATGACGAACAACATGGAGGTCAATGGATGGAGGTTAGTTCTTTACTTTTTAGTATAATTGAGGTTTATATAATGTGGCTGGCATAGGGGAAACAGGTGGCTGGCAAGAGGCAAATATTCGACTGACCGGCCGGTAAGGGGCAAACACTGGGGTCCTTCGAAATGCTGTCTTATTGTATAAACATAAAACTGTAAAGAACCAATCTGGCAATTGCCTCTTGTCGGCCAAAGGTCAAGGATTATTTTGCAACATCTTTTTACAACATGGGTTTCAATTTGTGGTAACTGGGTCAGTTTTTATCCCAAACTTCCGGTAACAAGCAACAGACGCGCGGCAGACGGCGATAGGCGACTGGTAAGGGGCAACCGTACTCTAGATCCAACTAAATCGATGAACTTAATTAGAGAATACAATAAATCTAGTCTCCTTTTGAAAAAAACAACACAACAAAACCCTCATCCTCTCCACCCCAACTTAAATAGCCGACCCCCCCAAAAGATTTTTTTTAAAAATCTAGTCTAATAGAGACCTAGAATCTAGCTAGATTATAGATCTAGATTTAGATCTAATATAGATTCTACCCTTCTCCCTTCCCGCTTAAGGATGGATTTTTTAATTTGTTTTTGTGATTCAGTTTTGGTTTAGATTCTAGATGTATTAGATCTAGATTCTAGATCTAGTCTAGATCTATTTTAAAAATTAATGCAAAAATAGGTTACTGCCAAAGTCGAGCAGTCTTGTTTTCTCGCAGTACCTTTTGAAGGCATTTTCAAATGAAGTACAAAAAGCGGCGCTTTTTCGGTAGTTCCCACCCCCCTTATTTGATAGAGCCTGACCTACATCTAGATCTATATACGTTTGATTCGCGGCAAGCTAAGATGTCAAACCTAACAACTGCAAAACATTAAATTGTTGTAAAATTCAGGGGGGCATGCCCCCTGAAACCCCCCACCTTGTTTTTAATAGGTCGGGGGGGCAAGCCCCCCTGAAACCCCCCTACTCTTGGGGCCAAAACCGGCGAATAACAAATGCGGGGTGGGAACTACCGAAAAAGCGCCCAAAAAGCCATAGAGATCTTCTAGAATCTAGATATCTAGATCTAGAATCTAGATCTAGAATCTAGATCTAATCTAGATTTCTAGATCTAGATCTAGATTCTAGATCTGGTAAGCTTGGGCAAGCAAAACCAGGTTCATCAATCAAACACATTTTCAATTTCATGACACAGTAAAAAAGAATCCATCAAATTACTTGATCTAAATTTATAGCTAATCTAGATTCTAGATCAAGATCTAGAATCTAGATCTATCTAGATCTAGATCTAGATCTAGCCTAAGAATTTAAGATTTTAGTAAGAAGCATTTCATGCAGCAGGCTGACAGTGACATCCTCATAAAAGTCATAGATCTAGATCTAGATTATCTAGATCTAGACCTAGATCTAGGCCTAGTCAGTCAACTCTCTCTTGGTCTCTGGCAGCCTCTGGACTCAGGACTCACTGGACTCACCGCTGGGCTAAGTTCAATTTTCAAGATGGGCACCGCGCCCACTCTTTCCCCTCTGTGTCACCAGACGTTGAAAATGCAAGGTGTAGATGTAGCCCCAATTTTCTAGATCTAAATAATTAGATCGCACTCTGACCATCTGTCAAGATCTACAACTTCGTTGTGGCAAGCAGGCTGTGGACGATGAGTGATGAGGAAAACCTGCACCTGGCCTGGAGGGAGTTGTGCGGGGTTGTGCTAAGCGACAGCGTTAGTCACCGCGCTTGCTTCGGAAATCGGAATTTCCCGATGAGAAAGCGGAAGTGTTTAGCCAAGATTAAGATCTACAACTCTAGGGCCTAGGCCTGAGCCTAATTGCCAACTCTAGAGTCTAATATTATAATAATACCCCCGAGGACGGAACAACCTGGCAAACTAGCTAATCTATTGTTTTGAGCGCTCTTTGGGCCATCGGATTGTGCTTCATGCCAAATTGCCTTCAAGTGCACAACTATGGAACTGGTGTGAGGGGGACCTCTTGGATATCATATCAACTAGGCCTAGGGCTAGATGGTCAGAGAACGGTTAGTAAGAACGTATAGAGGCCTAGGGCCAAGGAGATTAAAAGTAATGGACTGTGGCGTGGGCGGCACCGCACGCCTGATAGGAGCCCTCTCTCGAAGCGGAACTATGGTCTACCTGCACCGCACGACTGCTCGACTCACGCACTGAAATCTAGATAAAAAGGTTTTATTCCGAGGTCAATGTGTGTAGTTAGTAAAAAATGCCTTCCACCGGTGTTGTGTGTAAGTGTAAGAACCGATAGATCTATTATATTATATGGTGAGGCAGAGGACAGAAGTTTTCAAAGGTGTTGTTTTCCTTTTTTTTAAAATCCGAATGAAAGTGCTTTTATGCTCCCAGCAACACAATTTAGATCGTTAACATTTATTATAAGACGATTAATCTCCTTGCTTCTCACACATACTGTTCGCAAAATTTGGCCTTAGCTCCACCAGAGACAAGCTCCACTAATAGTAAGATACCAAATAGGCCTACATTTTGGTCTTCAGCTAGGGCTAAGTCTGGATTCTAATTAAATAGAATTATTTTATTTGTTAAAAAAGGGGGGAGAATAAAAAAAAATTTTAAGTCACGACCTGGGCCTTGATAATTTTTGGTTTGTAACAACAAAACTGATGAGTTTTCGTAGGGGGGGGGGGTAAACTTTTTTAATGAATTTAGAGTCTAGATCTAGATCTAGTGATTTTTAAACAAAAATAGTGAATTTTTTCAGTCCGGAAATCTAGTGAGTTTGCAAAAGCCTCACTGGCAACCCTGCAAGCAAGCAAGACCCAAGACGGAATAGCTAAGAATAAGTCTTGGGAATCACCCACAGAATTCTACACTTAGTTAAGTAGCCTACGTAGCGTCTTACTGTGTTTTGGGTAACAGAGAGTAGAATACTGTGGAATCACCAGGCAAGGGAAGGCACTCTAGGCAATGATAGTACATAATCTAGGTCCCGACTTTTGCTACTGAAATATCGATACTGATTTAAATAGTAGTTTTCAATATCAGCAGCCTGGATCTAAATCTAGCCTACAAAATGAGCAGTAAAATTTCACTAGTTTTTCTCAAGGCAAGGGGGGTTGCGCCCCTGTCTTAAAAAAAAAAAAACATGGGGTGTTTCAGGGGGACATGCCCCTCTGAATTTGACCACGATATGATGTTTTGCAATTAAATTTGAAAGGCTATCTCTCGGGCACGCAAATCGAAAAGTAATCGTTTAGAACCAGAGATGATCGTCGTTGGCAAGCTGGCAAGGGAACTTCCCGCAGATCAAGATCTAGATTTAGATCATGACATGTCGTTAGCATGTGAATATTATGAATGAGCCATGTTTGTTCTATTGATGACGCTTTTTGATGACGACCTTTTTGACATTCTTAAATTGGCATAGCCTACCAGTTCTCTTTTTGATTAGGCCTAGATCTACTTTTAACACACAGACAAAGAATGCCCTAAAGTTAAAGCATGTCTTTGGTTGTCATTGCCTGTCATTTTCTTAATTTGGCACTTTTTCGTCTGTTACCGAACAGAACAGGTAGAAACACCGCCCGATTACTACCGATACAAGATGGCGGCCAGGCCCGCCTGGGGTAACAGACGAAAAATCGGATGACGGGGAATCACTTCTAAGGCCGACAAGAAGTAGAATCTACAAGTAAGTCACTATTCTTGATCTTGTCAGTCAGTAGTCAGTGATATAATGCCAATGACTCTCACTTAATGACTTATATTACAGTAGTCTCCGCCTAAGATCCCACCGCTTACGATCCCGGTTCGCTTAGGATCCCGCTGTTTTAAGAAAACAGAATTTTAACTAGATCTATACAAAAGTCACCCCTAAGATCCCGCTCTGATTCACTCTGAATGTCTACATTCGGCTAAGATCCCGCATTTCAGATCATAATTTGCGGAACAATAACCCGGGCGGGACAGCTGATCAACCAAGACCAAGAGTGAAAAGTTGAGATCAATTAAGTGTCCGTCGCGTTAAAGATCAGCCACTATCGTGAATGTGATCACATACACGTTTTAAAACTCGATGAAGCGATACAATGTTTGCCCCGACGGGATCACACCGGGGTGTGAACTGACCGACCCGTTTTTTTTCCCCGAACATCGCACTCACACCTCTGAGCTCTTCCCCTAAACTTACATCACTCACTGGGTGGATAGGGCCTACACGTTCGCTCCAGGCGGGATCACATTGAATTGTGAACTCTTCCCTGACCATTGCAGAAGTTGTGTCTACTCCTGAATTTGCGAGACAGACTGAATTTTAATTGGTGTGGGCACAACGCAGAGATCTAATGGTGTGTAACGACAAAGGTGGTTGGGGGGAACTCGATCTGAGATGGAAAGCTATAAATTTTTGACAGGTAAAGGGGAGGGGCAACTGGATAAGAAGAGTAGATCTTGAGACTCATGATAGGATAATAAGTGAAAATGGCATGCCTCATGCCACTGTGCACTGTGATAGGTCATCAAAGTTAACCACTCTTTGCTCGCCATACGCCATAAACCCACCAAGGGGTCACGACAGTTCATTTTACAGTGGAGGGAGACCATTTTATCGATTGTGAGCCTTAACATGGGTCACCATAGATTCTTCCCTGGATTTGTCGGTTAAGATCCCGGTTCGCCTAAGATCCCGCATTTCCTTGCTCCCGAGCACCGGGATCTTAGGCGGAGACTACTGTATTTCAAACAAAGTAAAGGCAGAACGGCTTGTTCATGTTGAGTTGTTTGCCGAGCTGACGTCACCAGGTAAAGTAATAAAGCCACCTTAATTCTCACGAATAAAATAACATGTCTCGCTATTCTCACCCCGGGTGAGAATATTCCTTGTCTCCCTATTCTCACCTCGGGTGAGAATATTCCATGTCTCGCAATTCTCACTGGGGGGGGGGGGGGAGATTAGTGACTACTTCAATGGCCGATAAAATCACCTTCTAAATTAGGCCCTTGGTGGCTTAGATCTAGAATCTACCGCATGGGAACGAATAATAATACATGATGTAATGTAAAAACATTTTTCGCCTCTCCAGTAAAAAAAACCAAACGAAGTGACTATTTCTCCGAAGGTTAGAGAAAAGGAAGTGCCTACTTGCAACGCCGCTTTGCGATTAGCGCCAGTGCTAAATAAAACACCGCGTTGCGATTAGCGCCAGTGCTAATTTATATAAAAACGCCGTGTCGCTGTGTGTAAAATATGATCAACCTTAATCTGCACATCGTTATCGGAAGTTCTGATGGCCAAAGTGACAGTGCGTCTGCCTTGAAGTCAAACCATTATTTTGTTAACGTGGGTTCGATCCCGGTCCTGGACGGGGTTTTTTTTTCGGTTTTTTTGTTGTTGTTGTTGTTGTCCTCTTCTCGACTGACCAACAAATTGTTCTCATAATTATATCTTGTTGCTTTGTAGTTTTGTTATTGTTATCCAAGCGTCTTTCGACTTAAACTTGCTCAAACTCTGACTCAGATGATTATGATTATGAGAGATGAACAAGACGTCTACTTTTTGTGCAAACAATGTCAGAAACAATTGTTAGATCTAATCTAGATCTAAATTTTTCTAGATCTAGATCTAGATCCACCCAATATTGATCGGAATAAGACAACGGCATAAAAAAAGGAGTCAAATCCTAGGAGGTTTATAAAAAAACTGAGAAAGCTTCCACAATTCAGGCAGAACGTAGAAATGATGGCTACTACATTCTAGATCTAGTACTGGCGTTTTAAATAGCACGGGAGCTATTCAGAACGCGGCGTTGCAAATAAACTTGAACTCTTTTTCTCCTAACGGTTTCCGTTCTACAGATTTTTGGGTTATTTGCGAGATTTAGGTGTCATCTTATCTGCCATCCTCCGAGGACTGGGAATAGCTTACCTCGTCAGCAGCTGAAAATTTTATTTCTACCTATTATTCAATAGTGGGAGGGACGTAAGCAACAGAATTGGTTGGAGGGACTATCGAACAACATTAACAATGACAGGGGATTGGTTTATGATGGCGGCTCATCCACAACGTCAGGGGCCTGTACATTATTTATGACAAAACGTTGGGTGATGAGAGAGGTGGCCATCTAAGACAGGTGTTATTCTTTGGTGTGATAGGGGTTATGTGTTAAAATAATGTGGCAGCGGCCGAGTTAGACAGGTGCCTGTTTTACACAGTGAAGCTATATATTTATAGAATCTAATCCGCAAGGGGAGGAATGGAAAGTGGCCATTTGTACAGGTGGTCGTATTATACAGGTGGCCATCATGGCAGGTTGGACTGTATTTGTACAAATATTTCACACTTTTGATTACATACCAGTGAGTAAAGAATGGACTTTTGTTTAGGAAGTCTTGTTTTAATTTAGTTTTTTCTTAAGTTACAAAAATGTAAAGTTTTCGCCTAAGCAGTTTTATGAACCCCATGAGGCAGACATGAATTAAAGTGGACAGATTCAATGAAAAATTAATATTTAATGCTTTTCATTCAGGTGCCTCTTTCTTTGTGCATAATTCGTCGGTGAAATCACGTACTAGCGTATCTAACATTTTGGCCAAAATCGAGTGAGAACACTGCTCGATTGATTACAAATAACCATATGAATGTTCTCTCAAATCAGGGAATCGATGCGAGCTTTAGTCACCGACATATTACAGATACACCTACTGGCGTAATGGAAAAGTTTCTTGTTTGCGAAAACGCGTAGTAGCATAAGGGACGATATGCTAGTACATGGTTTCTGTAATTTTTTTGTTTCGTTTGCCACTCTCATTTCACAAAGTAGCGTAAGACAAGTGAAAACACCCTCAAAGTGCAACAGGCAAATGCACGCGTGTCTTCGTTTGAATTTGGCAGCTTGTAGGCCTAGTCTAGCTAGATCTGTAGTCTAAGTGCAGTTAAGACCTAATTTAGCCCTTGATAATGTGTGATGCCATTTGGTAGCAATTTAGATCTAGATCTAGTTGTTGTTTTTTTTTTAATCTAGAAGTCAGACAGCTGATTCACATGGAATGCTGGCTAAACGGGTCTTTTCGATACACAGACAGTGAAGGGCTTGAGCTCGATCTTGACTGGGGTTCAATTTCTTACGCACCACGCAAAAACAACCCTAAAGAAAGCTTAAGCCTGCTTAGGTAAAAAAAAACAATAACAAAGAAACAATAAGAGGCTAAAGCAGCCGAAGGTTAGCGCCTCTATAACTAATTTACCCCTTACTGCTACAATTTGACGATGTCTTTACTTTTAAAGCTGTAAAAGAAACTGAACCCCCAAAGCCTATATGATTTTCTTCCCTCTGCTCCCCTCTTCTATGGCTCCTTCTGTCTCTCCTCCTTTCTCTGTTCCCTATTTCTTTCTCTGGCTCTTCATCTATTTATTCATCCATCCTTCCGGTTGGCATCCGTTCATCTGTTTGTCTTGTCTGTGTCTGCCTATCTGTCCCCTCCCATCACGTGTATGAATGCACACAGACAAACAAACATACAAATGGGCGCACAAAGATAATTGGTTTGGTTTGGTTACCAGTTTTACGTCCCCTGCAACACTGTACGGTCATTTAAGAGACGGGCTACTTCGACCCTGACCGTCAGGGCCAACCCAGGCTGAGAGGGGGAAAAAATCCCAGCAGAAGAAAAACGCAGATTGTCCACAAGTGGGATTGAACTCGGGTCTTCCGCATGATAGGCAAAGAAAGAGCCTAATCATTACACCGTAGCGACATATTATCAATATATTATAAGCTTGGAGCATGTGTTGCGAGTTGTTTAGATCTGTGTCGTTTCAGGAAACATTTGGAAAATAAGCCTACGTCGCAATTTCAGACAGTGATTCTGATTATGACATACCCCTATCTGCTCTGAAAGGGAAAGTAAATGACAAAGACATTTCTAATGAAGGAGCTAGGGGGATCGGCGAGGTCGATTTTGAAATGCAAAATCAGGACGCTGAAGGTATTGGTACCTGTGAGGAAGAAGAAATGATTGTTTTGGATCCATGCGTTGATGATATTCGGGGAGATGTGGCCGGCAGTAACAATGAAATAAGCTTCGACGATGTGTCAGAACATGATTATGACTCAGACAGAGATCCAGAGTATAGCCCAAGTCAGTGTGAGGTGAGAGGGTGTAAAGCAGACTGTGTGGGCAGCATGTCCTGAATGTGAGATTTTGCTTTGTTTTGATAATTTCCAACAGGATGTCTCTTCACGTCATCAGCACGGACATTGCACAAAGAAGAAGAGGAGAAGGATTGAGATTCTAAGAACACAAGAGACTGTCATTAATGAGATGGCAGCATCGGAGAAGCTAAAGAAAATGTGAATCAAAATAATCTTGCAGCAGCAGAACGCCTGCCTGAAGATTACACAGTAGAAGGCAGTGAAAGAGAGGTCTCACGAGAGAAAGTGCCTAGGTTGAACAACCAGAAAGAGGCCTTGCGAAAACGAAATCAGGGACAAGAATATACGAGCATTGCAATGAAAAAGAAAGTCAGAGGAAGGCAGATGAAACAAAGATGCAAATCAACAGATACTGCCCTGTGTAAACGGCAATGCTCATCCATCAGTGATGAACAGAGGCACGCTATCTTCGACACATACCACGCATTTGGGAACCTCAGTCTTCAAAGAGAATATCTAGTCAGACACATCAAATGCGTACCCAAGAAAAGAGAAAGCAATGTGCAGACGTCTTGAGGCATCAAACCAAGCAATACTTTCTGACTGTTGATTTCAAAAGTGTTCAAGTAGTTTGTAAAGTGCTTTTTCTCAACAGTCTTGGGATATCAGAGCAGTTCACGCGTACTGCTTTGAACAAAGTCACTTCGTCAGGGACGATTGAAGGAGAAAAGAGAGGTGGAGTTCAATCAAAGGCTGCGATTCTACGAAATGAAAAGATAAGAAAAGCGATGGCTGATCTCTTCAACAGGTTCCCGAGGATTGAGTCACACTTCTTTAGAGCATCGTCTTCGAGAGAATATCTCTGTCCAGACTTGACAAAGAGAATAATGTACGATATGTCCTTAGAAGAGTGGAAACCAAAGCCAGAGCCACCAAGCTTTGTCTTTTACAAGAGCGTGTTTAAGGAGAAGAATTATCCTTCCACGGACCCCAGAAAAGACCAGTGTTCCCTATGTGTCACCTACCTTAAAGGAGATGAGTCTTCACGTCAAGCTGTGAAAGCTCAATATGACAATCACATACAGGAAAAACAAAAGGTTAGAGAAATCAAAGCCCAATACAAAAAGTAAGCTCAAGAGGATGCAACTTTTCTGTGTGCCAGTTTTAACCTTCAGCGGGTTATCTACCCGCCTATCTCACAAGAAAGTGCAATCTTCTACAAACAGAGATTCTTTCCATCCCAGCTAACAACAATTTTTGCTCTGGCACGACCGAAGCAACCGTACATGGTGCACAGTTTGTAGTGGGATGACCCCCCCCCCCCCCAAAGGATTTTTTAAAAGCGTTTTAAGTGGATAAACTTTATTTTCATATGGGAGCCTACAAATGCCATGACAGACATTAGGCTTCCTTATGAAAATGAAGTTTATCCACCCAAACTGCTTCAAGAAAGTCCAATTTTTGTCTCTGCTGTAAAATTTGAAAAACACAACTTACCATAGTTTACTGGTGGCCCTCGATATATTGTTTGTGCTATCAACGTGAGTACTGTCACCAGTGACACACAAATTGTGCTCTGTCTTCTCTAGACACTACATAACGGTTTACCCATTACCGGCTAGTTATAGGACCCCTGGCATGGGCCGGAGCTAGTTGTTTTCTTACCTTAGCCTGACCAGTCAAGGGGATTGGGGGTGGGGGGGGGTGGTGGGGGCACCCCAGTCAAAGGGATGGGGGGGGGGGCACTGATGTATAAATGCCCAGTCTAATTTGGGTTAAATTGAGATAATTAATCGGTGCACATTTGTAAAATGCATTTATAATGAACCCTTTGAACCTGTTGGGCCGGTAAACCAGCCTGGGCAATATTTTGCTGTATACTGTAAGACCGGGGCACAGACTACCCTGAGTTGTAAGTTGTATAGTCCGTCAAAAGTACTCTTTTTGTTTCTTGTTCATCGCCTTACAACATTTCCACCTTGGAATCAGGTAAACAAGGGAGTGAACAGATGTGTTTATTTCTCCATGTTCTCCCCCTCAGTCTTTTTGTGTATGTGCCCCCAAAACGCTGTGAACTTTGATGAAATTTGTGAAAAATGTCCAGAGATAGAGATGAAAAATTTCAAGATCTAGGGTTCATAGGGTTAATCTACTGTTTTTGTCCCTTTTTTTCTCCCCGTTGATTTAATATGCCCCCCGGGGCAGTGCCACTGACTTTAGTGTCTTTAGGCCATTCCCAAAGGGGGGACATTTCTCGTTCAAGCACAGTAGAATTGTAAATGGGCTGATTCATCATTTCATGCTCATAACTGTGCCTGATCTGCAACAGGGAACTGCTGCTTTTTCTTTCTTAATCCTTACAATTGTCATTTTCCTTTATTTCTTTTGTATGTTTGTCACATTCTTGTGACCCGCTATTTCCAGGGTGCCTTGATAGTCGAAGCAGACTTTGTGCTAGAGAGGTGAGCAGAGTAAGTCTGATTCCCTGTAGAGACTTCTCTGTTGATTTGAGCGCCGTAAAACCCTTTACTAAAAAAAATGATTTAATATGACATCATCTGTTAATCCTACAGATTGAACTATCCCTTACAGCAGTGGCAGTGGTCATGGATGACTCCCGTCCTTTGTACTGTAACAAAGGATTTTTTGTGTCCAAATCAAGCTGCATGCCATGCCCTGACAAGTAAGTTGTGGGTGGTTGGCGGGTGCTCTGGTGTGGTTTTCTCCTTTCCTGTCAGACATCTATATGTGAGTGGTGAGGCAGCCTGATGAAATACAGCGAAACTCGGATTCAACGAGGTGGCTGGGCCTGACCTACAATCTCGTGGAATCCGAGTATTCGTTTTAGCAAACATGAGGTTTTGTGCAAATAATTACAGGCCCTGAGCAAGTATTGTACAAAGAGAGGTAACAAGTGGTGCCTGAATTGCCTGCATATTATGAGCTGTGCAAAAAAAAAAAGACTGATTCGTTCAAACACACGCCTGTTTCATCTCGATTGTTTGCCAAAAAGTTGTGTAGCTGTGTAGAGCCAAGCATATGGCAACTTTTGATTCCATAGACAAGCTCACAATTTATTATTCATTACGTAGATCTACGTCAAGACTAGCTTTTTTATCATTGTAATAATGATCAGTTGCCGGGGGGAAAAAGACACACGCATGCCAACAACGCTAGTGTTGATATGAAAGAAGGCCGTTGATTGGTCGCCTGCAATAGGCTAAGTGAATAATTGTTCACGATGCAGGTGCAGCTGCAATGGATGCTTTCTGGGAATAGACAAAGTTCTTTGTCTGAGAAAAATGAGCGAAGCCACGTCTGCGGGGGCTATTCACCCTGGAAGCGACCTCGTTGAATCCAAGCTTGCTGATTTAAGTGCTCGTTGAATCCGAGCTATTTTAATTGATTTCAAAGAAAAAACAAGAACCGGGGAATCCATCTCCTCTCGTTGAATCAGAGTTCCACTGTAATCAAAGTTAAGAAACCGGCATTTTTCCGTTGATTTGTGAATTTTTATCAATTTTTTTTGGGGGGGCTCAGCATCTTCCGTGCCCGTTTAAGTGCACATTTCTCATACCTGCCAACCCTACAGAAAAAATCGGTATATTACCGACTTTTTGGTCAAACTGCCGATCCACAGATTTTGGGATATAAGCCACCGACAAGTGCCCCCCATGTCTTCTGTATTGCTGTAAAATTTCAGATCTTTGTGTGCAGTAGGCCTCCACTTTTGTTACCAATTTAAAATTACCACCCATCCATCGATAAAACACTAGAGCTGGAAACTAGATCAGGGACCCAACACGCGAGTTGCCGGCATGCAAGAGGCGCGTGATCGCAAGGCGGCATGTGATTGACTGCCTAAAACCAGAGTGTGATTCAATGTTAAACTGCAAAAACTAAACGGGTTACCAATGATGTCATTGCGGGTTTTCCCGATACTGCTTTGCTAAGGTGTAGAGGGGTGATCGGCCACAGTTCAAGAAACGTTCTGTTTTTTTGGCATATTTTCCTATATATGAAAGTCCCCCTAAATTTTGAAACAACAAATCCCAATAACTTCTCTATATTATGAATGGATTTTTAAAATTTAAAAACCACAGTTCTTAGAATTTACTCATCTTCCATTTAAGCTGGGAAAAAAATTAATTTTTCATTGTCATATTTCTAATATTTATTTTTTGTTCTTTGTCATTTTCCCATTTTTTTAAAAGTCGCAAACATGCTCATGTATATGTGGGTCAAAATATTGATACGGATCCCCAATTAATTTTGGACAAAAATTTGTGTCAACTACAGATTTTGGTCCAGGCAATGTTGGCAGGTATGATTTCTGTGTGGATTTTACTGAAAAAACGTTGATTAAAGGCACAAAAAAATTTTATTTTCACTTTCCACAGACTCTCAAGCTAAGGAAATAACTAATCTTTGGCGTCCATTTTCTCACTAATTTTACCTATGAAACCAGACGACCCCCACCTCCTTCATTCGCCTATATCTTGACCTGTATTCAAGATAAAGGGATATTTGTTTAATCGAAAACAAGACAAATAAACAAGCTTTAAGATGACAACAATAACTCTTCATTCCCAAAAATTGACGAGAGCCTGATTCCACTGTATGGTAACACATAATTGTCCTTATCTCTCCTCCTTAATTCTTTTCTTTGTATTGTTACTATCAAGTGATACCTCTAATCTTTGGCACTTATTATAATCTGTTTGTGTTGCGAGTGTCGTAAAACTCTTGTAAAGACTAAAACAAAATCAACAAGGAAGTTTCAAGTATTGAGCTATTAGTATTAGTATTAGGACACAGTAAAGGATGAGAATGATTTTTGCATGAAACAGAATACAGTTGTTTCTGCCGAAAAATTCTTCACTGAGAGTGAGAGGCAAAAAATGCAAGCAGGAATTGAAAAATGCAGGCAGAAATTTATTTCTCATACAAGAGAGGTTTCTGGTTCTTTCTTTCTTTTTCTTTTTTTTTCCATATTAATATGAACTTTTTGTAACTGTAATCACAGTATGTTGGATTGCGAATTGTTTGTTTTGTTTGTGGAGGTTTTTGGGGGTTTTTTTAAAGAGGAGGAGGTAAGTTGGTTGCCTTAATCGCTGAAGTGCCTTTAGGCCATTCCCTAAGGGGGGCACATTAACATCTCGAGTTCTTTTGTACAGTAGAATTATAATTGTAAATGGGCTGATTCATCAATGTCATGCTCATAACTGTGCCTGAACTGCAACAAGGAACTGCTGCTTCTTCTTTCCTCATCCTTACTATCTTCATTTTTTCCTCTACTTCTTTTGTAATTTGTCACACTCTTGTGACCTGCTATTTCCGGGATGCCTTGATAGTCGAAGCAGACTTTGTGCTTTGAAGCTAGAGAGGTGAGCAGAGTAAGTCTGATTCCCTGTAAGGACTTCTCTATTGGCATCTACCCCGTGGTGCTCATATGACCTTATATGCAGTTGCGAGCACCGTAAAACCTCTACTAAAACTAAAAAATTACTTGGAACAGAGTAACTGTTGAACTCTTGAATCAATAAGAAATGTTTGACCATAATCTCAGATACTCAGGCTTGTTCTGTGTGTTCTCTGACTGTGACGGTATAAATTGGACTGTATTTTCGATCTTTTAGTATGTTTGCAGGTAATCTCTATGACATATATATAATAATAAATAATAATAATATATAACGTTTATATATAGCACATTTTTTAAAAAGTAGCTCAATACGCTTTACATTGGAATACCCATTTTTCAAAACCTTTCTTACTACTTCCTTTCTTCTCATGCAATATAATATATTTATGCACACACACACATACACACACACACACGCAAACACACACACACACACACACACACACACACACACACACACAGACTATTTTCATTCAGACATAGGCACTGAACAACTATAATTTTTTTTTAATTAAAAAATAACGTTAAAAGCTAATGAAGGATAGGCCTATAGGAACAGAAAATGCTTAAGATGTGTTTTGAAGCTATCAAGTGTTTTTGTTTGTCTTAGTTCTATGCGTAATCTGTTCCACATAAATGGACCAAGATATGACTAATATGAGAAAGATATATGACATGTTGAGACTCATTTTTTGTCTTGATGTATGTATGTGCTCACCTTTGATATACAAAAATACCTCATTTCATACCTAGTCCACACAGGCTTGTGGGAAATGAGAGCTCTTACCGAGTCTTTCTTATTCCTGTTCTTAAGTGTTTGAGTTAAGTGTTTGAGATCAAATGCCTAGTTTTCTCTTTCGTGGATGGTTGGTGGGTGCTCTGTTGGGACTTGCTCCTTCTTTCCTATCAAGCATCCTTATCTCTCCTCCTTTTCTTTGCATATTAATTTCCAGTAACAGCTCTAATCTTCAGCTTTTATCGATGACCTATTTGTTTTGCAAGTGCTGTAAAACTCCCACTAAAACTGAACTAAGCTTTTTTTGCTTTATTTTCATTCATGAAGGCACTATCAACCCAGAAATCTCTTCGAAGGCACATCATGCAGATTCTGGACACAGAAGGCTACGAATGGTAACTGGGAAATCATTAAGGATGGTACTGACACCTCAGATATTGTTTGGGGCTGTAAAAGAGGCTACAAAGTTCACAACGTTTCTCTCACATTGCAAGAGTGCGTGCCGGACATTACCACCAAGGCTCCTGTCACAACTGAAGGAACAACCACCCCAAAGCCAAGTGACAACACCACAGCAAGCACACAGGCCCCCACTACAACTTTCTTCTTCCCTGGAGAAGGCCATGAAGGCTTCCCAGTTTGGGCTGTGGTAGTTTTGGCTTTTGTGTGCGTTATAACAGCAGTATTGATAGTTATATATTTCCTCAGAAGGAAGGGCTATATTGGTAAAATCAAGGACATTTTCTGTCGTAGGAAAATCTCTGATGCTGAAGACCCTGAAGAAAAAAATGATTTGGTTGACAGAGTGATGACAGTGGTGTCAGATACAACCAGTACATTTGTTACTGAAATTCCACTGATGAATCCTTGCGATGATGGTGATACTTTCTCTGAGAAGGAATCATCTAACTTTGATGGTAGCGTAACTTCTCCACCAATAAGCGACCCCATAACTTCTCCAGACCATATGCCTTCAAACATCTCAAAGCAATTCTGCTTTACTTTAGCACCCATGCTAGAAGACAAGCTGCATAATTTTATTCACATATTGGATGATCCCAGCAAGAAGTTTGACAGTAAGCAAGAGCTGTTGCACCTCAAACTTGAGGGTAAGAACTTCTTAAATTGTGGCATTGATGCTTTTTGGCTCTGGGCATTGCATAATAAAGAATCCGATCACAGGGCTCTGATAGCAGAAGCTTTGTCCATTATTAATGAGCCAGAATTGTTGGACTTGTCAGAGACAAAGTGTAACCGGAAACTGGTCAGTGTTTCTGTGGAGATCAGTACAAATAAACTCAAAGGTGACGGTGAACCATCTTACCTTCTTTATCGGTTGTTTTACAGGCTAACACAGTTAATGGATGATGATAAAATGCTTTCGTTTGTGAACCAGCTGCCAAATGATAGTGTTTCTTTTGATAGCCATAGGTCGCTGAAAGAAGCTAACAGAAATACCGGTTATGATATGACTACAGCTTGTTCTGGAACTCTTATGGAGTGGAGAAAGAAAAACAGGCACCTGAATTTGAGGGCAGCTTTTCTGGAAACTTTATTAGGGATAGAGCAGAAGTTTGTTACAGAGGATGAGAACTATATCGAGGTCATGAAGCGTCTTTGCCCTGTTGAAGATGACTGTTCTGATACTGCTGTTTTTCCCAGTTCTGGTGTTGAACAAAGCGAAGCTTTAACTGATACAGGAAGTTTATCAACAGCAGAGAATGAGGGCAGAAATAATTCTGTCACTGATTCCAATGAGATGAAAATGAATCCTCAACAGATATCTCTACAAAAAGACAATGAAGGTAAAGGAGATGAGCCTATCTAAAATGGGCACCCTAAAGACAATGAAGTAAAAGGATATAAGTCGGTCCAAAATAGGCCCCTTATTTCGGTGTAGACATCTGACGAACTGTCACTAACAATGATCAATCACTAGGCTCTTTCATTTGCTCGTGATTCCCTTCTAAAACGGCCCATTTGTGGCCGTCCAGACTGTAATGGGAAAGTATGACTTTATAGACCATCATCTCTGCCTCCAGGGCGTGCTTGTAGAAACTGTTTTCCATTTGGGCATGTGATTAGTTTATGATACGTTCTGTTTTGACCGGTTATTGTCATCCTTTAGAGAACATGTTACTTCTTTCCCCTTTCTTGTAACCTATGGTCTGTTCTTACTCCGTAAATGGTTGGTGAACACTTTTGGAACCTGTAGCCTAGCTCAACCTTCACAAAACGGCCTTTAATTAAACTGTCCCCGTCGTTTTATTCATGAAAAATTAGGAAACTATGCAAACTGAGCCCAAAAATGTGAAATTATTCGATTCTGTTAATTTTAACAAAGAATGATAAAGGAAAATAATAAGAAATTATGCAAAAAATGATCAAATTATGCGGGGTGCATAAAACCCCGCAGACTGATTTAACAGCCTTCAGTGAGAGAGGTGGTCTGCCCTTTCTTTGCCTTTCACACGCAACATGGCTAGCATAGACTCACGCATTGCCATTTAGAGCTGTGGAGGTCAATTGCACTCCGTCCACTCTCTCTAGAACTTGTTTGTTGGTTGGCAGGTGCTCTGGTACGATTTATTCTTTTTTTCTCATCCTACGTCTATCATCCTGAAATTTCACCTCATCTTTTCTTTGTATGTTACTCTTTAGTAACACCTCTTATAGATTTTACTTGTGTTGCAAGTAGCCTATCTTAAAAATCTTACTAAAACTGAACTAAAAGATGTGAGATGCCTTGCCCGTCTGGTGCAGTGAATGCATGCCTGAAATCTATGCTGCTAACCTAACTGCTGCTGTGACCTCAATCTCCGTTCCTATACATAGGAAGTCTCTTCACTACAGAATAGGAGCATGAGTTTACCCGAACTATTTCTACACTGCAGCGTATTCTGAAGCACATTCCGTACATGTTACCCAGTGTCTTTGTGTAGCCGTTACAAGTTACATGCTCTGCTGTTGCATGCAGGATCCCAAGAGGGGAGAATTTTCATTGATTGTTTCAGTATTTCTGCCGTGATGTTGTATCCCTCTGCACCCAAGTTGGCTGTGACAGGCAGGGATGAAGCCAGCCTGTTAAATTATCGAAATTGTCTCGATTGAGCTGTAAAAACACCTACATTAAAAAAAAATAATTTCCATACATGTTATGGTCCCAGCTGACATGACGACTGTGTTTATGAAAGTGTCTTCCAGCCCATCTGCTGGAACCAGATTCATAATCGTGAGATTGTGGATTCAGGAGTTTGAGCCTCAACTTGGTCCGACGTTGTGTCCTTGAGAGGGGCACTTTACACGAATGTCCCATTTGGCTCGGTCCTATTTGGCTCGGTCCTTTTTGAGATGGATGTTATACTCGAGATCTTGATAAGCTAGTTGTGTTGATAGGTGCGTTTAAGTTGACCTACCATTTCATCATTTTCACCATTTGCTGGATGTTGTATGGACCCCTATATTATAATGATCTAGGTTTTGTCAGTGGGAAAGTAAAACAAAAACATTTACAGTCAGTTGTTAAATCATTTACAGTCAGTTGTTAAATCATTTACAGTCAGTTGGGGTTGGGTTTTTTTTCGTTAACTGATAATATGATCATGAATTCAGTTTGTTGCAACAGGAGTCTGTTGTAGCAGTTTGGCACTTGACTGTCACACATGGGAGCTGTGAGTTCTACTCAATGAGGAGAATTTGTGTCGGGTGAGGTGTGAGTTCTACTCAGTGAGGAGAATTTGTGTCGGGTGAGGTGTGAGTTCTACTGAGTGAAGAGAATTTGTGTCGGGTGAGGTGTGAGTTCTACTGAGTGAAGAGAATTTGTGTCGGGTGAGGTGTGAGTTCTACTCAGTGAGGAGATTTTGTGTCGGATGAGGTGTGAGTTCTATTCAGTGAGGAGAATTTGTGTCGTGTGTCTCCGTCTTCCCCTGGGGTATTCTTCCCCTCTCAATTCAAGCTGGTCCTGACAGACAGGGTCAAAGCAGCCTGCTTCCGAAATGATCTTAGTTCTGTTATTGGGGACTTGAAACATTTACCGTTATATAAATGTGTTTACCTTTTTCTTTTTTTTTTGTAGTTTGTTGAACTGCTTGTCATGGTAAAGTTTTACTGTCCATGAATCTTAATGTATGTTTGTTAAAGACAGAAACTTTTATTTTTCCGTAGAAAATAAAAGGAAATAAATGTATTATATTTGTTGATGTCAGATTAATCATGCATGTGGGGAAACACTGATAATCAGAACAGTGGAAATGAGGTAGCTACTTCTTATCTACCAGAATTGCTCACGATTTTGTGAAGAGTGTTCTTTTTTTACATGATTTTGTATCACTGATTGTAATAATTACAACCACGAATGGTCTGACACTGATGAAATATTTGAGGCATCGTGGTGAAATCAGGAGCTCATCAAAATATTGAAATTGAAGAAACAGCATATTTTCTGGCCCTTTCAGCAATTTCTACCGTTTTTTTCTTTAAAGGCACAAAAGATAATCTACAGTTTCCGAAGACTCTGAAGCTTTGGACGTCCCCAAACTTTGGCTGCCGTTTTCTCACTAATTTTCCCTCTGCTACCAAGCGACCCCTATAGCCTTTAGATGCAAATATCTCGACTTATATTGATAAAATGTGGAGAGAAAAAATTCATCTTAAGCAAGACTAATGAACTTGCTTTAAGATGATGTCATTAACTCCATATGCCCAAAAATTGAAGAGCACCTGATTCCACTTTTGCTTCATTAACCGAGATTTAAATTATGTTCACACTCTGGTTTCAGGACACAAGTTTAATAAATGATTGAAAAATTTCCTGACTACTTTGCTGTTGTAATACATGTTTCATATATATATATATATATCTGGTAGCTCAGACATTTGCATCACTTTGTAGAAGCAACCACTCACTTGTCAAACTTTTCAATTAAAATGTGTACGAAGTTTGCTTTCATGAGTATTCATAAGAACATGATTGAGCCTGAGGAATCTATTGAGTAATGATAATCCTTTGCTCTCTTGCTTTTATTCAATTCAGACTTTGTTCCTGTTTTGGAGATATTATGAATAATAATTGCTAGTGGTTGTGGACTTTTCGATCTAGTTATGTTGTTGTTTGTTTTTTTAAAGAAATTACTATAAATATTTGTGATTATGTTGGTTGTTTTGTTTTTTTAAAGAAATTGCTGTAAATAGTTGTATGACAAAGGGTTCCTGTCAATGTTAATGTAGTCCAGCCAGTTGCTTTTGAGCTGTTTAGAATTTTCAATGTCTGTGAAATCACTTCAGTGTTTCTGTTCTTTATGAAATTCTCTGTAGGATTTTCTTCTTCTCTTGCCGACATGTTTCCGAGGTTCAAAGGGATCCGGACTGGCCTCTGTGGTGTAGCAGTAAGGGATCATTCACAAATGGCGTCAGCTCGGGGGGGGGGGTCAGTAAAGAGTTGACAAACGTTGGGACATTGGGGGTGGGTGGGTGGGGGGGGGGTTCTTACAAAGTTGTCATCGCCATAGTTTTAATTTTTAAAATTCAAAATAAAGATCAAACTCAAAAGTGTAAATACAAAACTGTATCCTGTACAGGTTCTCTCTAAATGTACATGTACAATTTGGTTGACGTCAACGGTGGGGGTTCCTGGGAAGTTTTCGTGGGGGTCATTTTTGGTCAAATTTTAGCTGACGTTTTTTGTGAACAGTCCAGTCCCTAAGAGCTCCGCTGTCGCTTGCAGAAGACTCAATAATTTATGTAATCGAGTATGTCGGTCTTTCTCTTACGATGTTGTATCCCTATCAGCCCAGAGTGCTGTGGACGGGCGGGGTCAAGGCCGCCTCCTATTGAATCTAAATTGTGTCGATGGAGGCATAAAAACACCCTTACGTGTTTTTAAAAATATGAACGATTTAATTTGGTCAGCACTTTTAGTGTTCTATTTCGCTTGGTATTTCATTTACATGACTTTAATGTGTTGTCTTCAATTACGATGATTAATTTTATGTTAAACTTTTTTATGTGGCCATGAATTGTACATAATACTGTCCCCGTGGTTTTATGCACCCCGCATAATTTAGCATTTGATAATTTTTTGCATAATTTCTGATTATTTATAATTCTTTGTTAAAATTAACAAATCATTTTTGGGCTCAGTTTGCATAATTTCAGAATTTTTCTTGCATAAAACGACGGGGATAGATAATAGGAGTACAAAGTACATAATTATAGAGGCTCTGTTTCTTATTAAATTCATACATTATAGAAAAAATACTTCTCATCATTCCAATACTTAACTGTATTAGATATTAAATTGCTCATGCAGCTCATCATGATTTCATGCTTGTTTCATTTCTGTGGAAACTTTTTTCTTTGGTACTGTATTCGTAATTTCATTTTCAGACTGTGGTAAGATCCCAGATGGTATGTCAGTCTTTATAGCTTTGCCTAAGTCACCAGGTGCCATAGAATGTGAGATGCTGTTTAAAATGCGACTAATTAGGCTAATTGTTATATCATCATATTATATATGACGATTAGCCTAATTAGTGGCATTTTACAACCATTTTCACTGTGAAAAATATGAGGAAACGTTTAAGTCAGAAGATATCTAAAACATAGGTCGGCTTTGTTCCTGACAAGGATACCTGAAATGCTCTTATATTCGCCATTAAAGTATTAATGTAGAGATCATGTATTGAAGCACAGAAAGACCTATGCTTCATTTCATTGATTACTAAAAGTGAAAGCCTTTTGGATAAAGTTAGACGTGATGATCTATTTAACATTTTGAGTAGGCTATGCATAGATGCAAGGGTACCGAGATCCGGGTTTCTGCAGTACCGTATAAATTGAGCAAGAGAACTGCGAATATATATATAAATATATTATAAGATTAAAAGAGGAGTAAGGCGAGGCTGTGTTATGTCACTAGACCGCTTTAAAACTAACAGTTCAGTGAAAGAAGAACATGTATAAGAAAAATTAGAAGCCTGAAAATATGTAATATACACGCTATGTTAGTGCTAGAGTTCACATTACTTTTTGCTGTTGCAAGAAAATGCTTGGATCTATTTCCTGCTTTACAAGATGTACAAAAATATTTGCTTTTTAATTGTGTATGGATTGATTATGATATAGTGTATATAATATGTGTGAGGCATCGTGGCTAAATCAGATGCTCTCAAAATAATGGAAACGAAGAAAACAGCATTTTTCTTCCCGTTTGGCAATTTTTATCGAATTGTTATTTTTTGTCTCGACACCTTTTATGTCCATTTAAAAATATAGGGTAATTTTCTTGGAAAGCTAGACAAATGTACATGTTTTAAGGCGCTACCAGTAGCTCCATATATGCCTAAAAATTGACAGGCGCCTTACTCCACTGTGTTGTAACTTTATATTGAGTGATTATGATATTAGCAAAACTTGAATTAAATCATTTCTTTTCAAACAAGTAATCTGTTTCTTTTGTGTCATTCCATTGCCTTGCTTGTATGAATGTCATGAAAATAGTTAACAGGTTGCAGTGAGTTTTCTTGCTTGAGCTGTTAGTAATTTAAGACCAAGTGTGTGTTATTTATGACAGTAAATGTGATTGATTCCTTTAAAAGTGTAAACTGTATGAGTTGTTGTTGTTTTCAAATCCCTTTAGCTGCGAGCATTTCGCTCTTGGCAGCGCAAGGCCTCCCTCAAGTAACTACATGTCCTTCCTTGTCATCTGGTCAACGCCAGAGTAGAGGAGGCTTTGTAAGTCTGTAGGTGTGTGTAGGAGCCTGCGTCGAAGAAATGCCAGGTTTGGGCAGTGAAGGAGATGTTCAACGGTCTCCTCGTAGTAGTCACAGTGTCTGCAATGGGGTTCCCACATGGGATTAATTCTGTTTATGTGCTTGTTGGTGTGTAAGTGTCTGTGTGAGTAGATCAAGGTGCATAATGTCTGGTGTAGATGTTGTGTTCTCGGTGTTTGTGAATATGTGTATAGAGGTGTGTTTGTATGTGTGTGCAGATTGCAATTAGTTTTGTCTATTATCTGAGTTTTAAGAAGTGTACAGGCATAGGGGTAGAAAATTAGGGTTAGGGTTAGGGTTAGGGTTTTACGGCTCTTGAAATACAATAAGGTCGTATAATATTAGTGCCGAAGATTGGAGGTGGTTCAAGAGAGTAAAAAACACAAAAGAAGGAGACAACGACGAAAAATGTTTGTTAAGAAAGATAAGGACTTTAAGGAGCAAACCACACCAGTCACAAGAGTCAGTCCAGAGCACCCATTGGCCAACCACCCACAAAGTAAAAAACTCAAGATTCCAAGATTCCCCTGTGTGTGAGGAAAGTTTTTAGCGAAAACCGGTGTACACGATGTATCTGCTAGATCTATCTGTTGAGACTTTGCATTTTATTAAGCCAAGGAGCCCTCCGTCAAAAAGGGTTTAAAAAAATTGTAGGTCTAGATCTAGATCTAGGTCTGTCGTCCTACGCTGCTAATTTTAGCTCTGTGCTTTTACCAAAGAGGTCTCGTTACCAAAGACGCACAAAACACTCATTCACATAACAATGCCCTCTGGCCCTCTCCTCAGTAGTGATGGGCAGGTATCGATACTATATACTAGATACCTAGATACCTATCGGTATCGGTACTGATACCTGCTCTAAACATCGATACCTATGTGTTATTTATCCCAGGGCTGTCAAAGCAAGTGACTTGGGCCTTGAGAATTTTTTGTTTATCAAAACTGATAAGTTTTCATAGGGGGGAAGCGTTTTAAATGAATCTAGTGATTTTTTAACAAAAAGAGAGAAGTTTTTCAAGAAATCTATCTAGTGATTTTGCAAAATCCTCACTGACAACCCTGATTTATCCTCATTGGTTTAATTTAAAGTTGCTAAAAATCTGGTATATTTAATTGCCTTTTTAGAACGCTTGTGTTTTTATTTTACAATATTAACATTTTCTGCAAAGTTGACTTTCCTCACATACTTCACTTTTTTTTAAATTCTCATATTTGGGTATTTATCTCTCTCTCTCTCTCTCTCTCTCTCTCTCTCTCTCTCTCTCTCTCTCTCTCTCTCTCTCTCTCTCTCTCTCTTTTACAAATAATTATTGTTTGAGTCTCAGCAAAATAGTCACAACTTGTCTAGACACGATTACCTAAATACTTGGAAAAGTATACTTGTATTTTTGTCTTTACTTATTACCCCCGGCGTATGTTACCAATGATAGTTCATAACAAGATGGGCCACTCAGCCAAAAAAGTGTCCGCAGGAAGTATGCTCTTTGCTTCAGATGGCGCTGCAGTCTGTTTTGAAGCTCTCTTTCGTTTTTCCAGAAGAAGAATAGGAATAGCACCTCCTTGCGTGCGCAGATCACAGAATTCTACACTTAGTGTAGAATTCTGTGGCGCAGATCGACTGCTGTTCATCAGCAGTTCGGGTACGTTCAGTGCGGAGTTTTATTATTTTTTAAATTTTAATGACCTCTCGCCTTTCATTCTTAAGTCAAATTAAACGAAGAAAACCATCACCCTTTCCTCCGGAAGAGGTTTTTTGTCAGCGTAACCATTTTAAAAAAGCGTTCTTCCGAAATTTATCCCAAAACTTGCTAGTTTCACTTTGATTTTTAAAAACTCAAGTAGGGTAACTCTGTTCGCAAAGAGTGCGCTTTTGTGAAGAGGGCGCCACCAAATTTTGAGGACACTTTTTTAATTGGCTCAAAGAGAGAAGTGGCCCATCTTGTTATGTACTATCATTGATGTTACTAATAGCATTAGGTATCGAGGTATCGGTATCGATACCTTCAAAAAGTACTAGGTATTATCGATACCTAAATTGTGGTATCGGCCCATCACTACTCCTCTGCTCTCAGCCCTCGTCACTATGCTATAAATAGTATACCGGAAGCTGTAATCATTTGGCACTGTGTCAAAATTTCTGATGCAATCTACTTGGCCGAAGAAGACCCCTTTAATCATCATCCGCAATATTAAACAGTTTCAGAACTTCTTTTGGTACTTGGGCCAGAAAATATGTTTAACTTCTTAAGTAACTTATAATTTATTTCATTCAGTCACATTGTTCTCATTGACATGTTTCCTGAAGCTGGTTCTGACTCTTAATTGATAAAGTGATGTTTGGTTGTTTACGACCTTGCGCAGTGATATTAGCTTTCATGGTCAACGCCTTCTTCGCTTGTACCCGCCATTTCCTGCATTGCCACGCTACAGAACGGTCAAGAAATATAATGTGTGCAAAGATGTCTGCTTAGGAAGACACGGCGACGTCCGCCCCCAAGGGCAATCGGCACAATGGCGTAAGTTTTCCTCTATCATAATATTCAGATATGTGCTTATTTATCAAAGATATTGTGAGTCTTACCTAAGAAGTAAAATACTTCCCCGTAGGCTAGTCTAGTAGATCTACACAACTTAGCATCTGTGGCGATAGGTCAACCAGTTCTGCAGTAGGAATCCGAAGAATGGCGACTGATCCCTTGAAATGCCTTGTGACCTTATTTTTCCAGGTTCTAAGCATATTGGGGAATACAAAAATATATCCCTCCCTGCCCCATCCCATACCCCACGATAGAAACTAGATATCTAGATCTAGAAACAACTCAAGTTCAAGTCTCGTCATGCTTTGGTCTCAATCGCCAGTCTGAGTCAGCAGAATAAACACATCTGGCCTGGCACAAAACTTTTAGACTTTGTCTCTTGTCCTTGGCTTGGGGGGAATGGTTACATTACTGATTTACTTAAATGGCTTCATATCTTTGAAGGGAAAGCAAAGTTTTTTTTCTTGTGGGTTACTTTTATTACAACAACACATTTTTTCCAACTGATAATTTGATGAGGAGCAGTAATAGGGGGTTCTCTTTGACTTTGGGGTATTGGGGTCTGGTCTGGGCGATTTGCTAGCACAAGACTGAGGGTGCAAAGCAACTATCGTCGCACACGCTGATCTCGCCTGACTCGCATTTGTTACCAGGCGACGAGATGGGCGATCATCCCGACCCGACCAGATCTGATCCCGCAAAGGGCTCCCCATAAGGCCTGCAAGTTGCAAGGTCATTGTGACCCACTTTTTTGTGGTCACAGCTCTCATGCTATAGCCATTGCTGTTTGCCTCTTTGGACCTGTTGGACCCCTCTCTTAACTATTGACTATTGTTATTGTTGTAGTGTTTTTGTTTCGTAGGACCATGCCAATTTTATAATTTTTGTATAAAATCAGGCTCAATAAAATTATTCATAGATCTCTAAATCTCTAGACTCTAGATCTAGATCTAGATCTGTCAGGTGGCCTATCACTTTTTATGTTTGTTTTAAACATTTCCGTGTGAATTTACCGAAAACATTAAAGGCACGAAATAATTTTTCAGTTTTCGACTTTCAAGCAAGGTATTGAAGATAACAAACTTTGACGACCTTTTTCTCGCTAATTTTACCACTAAAACCAGGTGACCCCACCTCCTTCAATCGGGAATATCTCAATCTCTATTCCAGATATATAAAACAAAGCAGATGAAAATGCTTTTATTAATGTGATAACTCCACATGCCAAAAAATTGACTAGCGTCTGATTCCACCGCGTTTTGACACTAATTATTGAGTGAAGAGTGTTTGGATTGCTTACATTTTTTTTTCTTCTATTTCAGAACCTTTCATGATGTATTCCTAGCTACGGCTATCTCGCTTTCTCTATTGGACGGATTTATTTATCACATAGAAGACTCGTATACCAAACTCTACGATGGAGCTGGACCTTTGGAGCGAAGATTTTCAACTGGCCAGGGAATGGGGGCTGGAAATGCCAGTCGTCCAGACCGATGGCCAGTTCGGTGACCTCAAATCAACCAGTCGTCATGGTGGCGACGAATCTCTAAGTTTGCAGCCCCAGGGCGCTACACTGAAGTTGGAACCCTTTGAGGAAGGTAACAAAAGCAAAATCATTTTTTAAACTATACCTCTCACTCTTGTCACTAGTAATTTTTTACACTGGGTTCTGGATGCATTGCCCCAGTATAGGGACCGTTCACATTTAACCCAAAATGACACACATGCACACCTTTCATCTTGTCATCCTTCACACACACACACACACACATGCACACCCACTATAATTGACGTCAACCAAAATGTACCCGAGATAAAACCTGTACAGGATGGATTTTATAAAATAAAACACCTTTGATCTTTAACTCTTATCCTGCGTCTGTGCCCAGATGCGTATCTTGTCAGCAACCGATTACGTCGGACTCGCCGGGGTCACTCAGTGTGTACTGTTGGTGTACAGCGCGCCCGCCGGGAAACGCGTGTTTTCGCCATGAATACCGCGGGAGTGTGTTAACTGATGATGAAAATAACGCTCTATCCTTCATAGCATTCTATTTATAAAGTGTTACAAACACATGAATAACCCCCTCTCACAAGCTGATAAGACATTACGAGTAGTTACGCCCATTTGAATAACCTTTCTGGACGCTCTTGTTGTTATGAATGACCTGAGGTTCGAAAAGGGATAATTTAGGTAAATTTCCGAATGTTTTACACTCAAATTGTTCTTTGTACCTGCACAAGGGTATTCAAAACTATTAAACAAGCTCATCTTTTATCAGGTAGTATCATTTCATATAAAATCAAGCTCATTTGAAATATTTTGTATAGAAAAATGGAAGTCTTGTTTCCTGACTATCCTTTCGAGCTCCTCATGTCTAAGTGGGTCAATTTCTTCTATAATTTCATTGGACGAACATCTAGAGCTATCAACTTTGCATGTTTTGAATGAGACGTATGCCTCGATTACGAACCAACGCAGGTGGTTCTAGAAGAAGGCCACAAACGCACACAAACTCAAGCAGACTGACGCACACACACTTGACCTGCGTGAATGGGGATCCGACTCGGGACCCGAATGACACGTAAGAGGATGTGCGCTGAGCCAGGAGCTACACTGACTCGGGACCAGAACGCAGGCGAGGTGCCGAAATAGGCTTATCGGGCTACATAAACCCGGCTCCCGCAGGATGAGGGTTAATATAAAAATAAAAACTATTGTTTAGGCTAGAATCTACATGTTAAACAATTTGGGCCAAGATAATTTGGACTATTATTTTCCTTTTTCTTTTCTTCCCAACCTTTTAGAGCAGCATGGTTGGATTCAACTTTGTAAGGACACGCACACTCCCCATGTATCAACTTTTCACCGACACACACACACACACCCCTGGGTTGACGTCATTTGTGAACGGTCCCAAATAACTATTTTAAAAAACTTATCTAAAGGGATAGGGAGGTAGGGGTCCGTAAGGAGTGACCACTGTGGAGTATAGAATAGTGTGTTTGACTTGAGACTTGGGGGGGGGGGGGGGTTTAGGATTCGGTCTTTTCTATTGTATTTGCTGGTGTGGTCGCTTGTTACGGAAGTCCTCCCTTTCAGCTCAATAACAAAATTTTCTTTGAAAATGTATTGTTTTAAAAATCGTTCCAAGCTTGAGGCAAAAAAAATTTATATAAAAAATGAGATAATCATGAAAGATTTTGTGCCTTTGTTCTCAGTTTATAAGTTCAGTATAGACTATGTTTGGAAACCCATTCACTGCTGAAGAGATTGAGGCTAGTCTTGCTTGCATATAGTGAAATTGCAGGATGCTGAAATATTTGCTTAATGTACGGATTTTGTGAATCACTTGTTTTGAATATTTCAAAAGAAAAATATTTCTACAAGAAACATTTACAAATTGCAAGTCTGTTTGCTATGTCATGTGTGTGTGTTTGGCTGTTTAATTTAATAGCAGTATACTAGAAATTGAAAGTGTGCTGGGTGATGATACCCCCTCATTTTGATCGCAGCAGCAGCAGAAGGACCGATGCTTTTTTTTTTTCGCCCCTCAAAAGAACAAAAAATGCTTCTTTTTTTAAACACTTGTTTTGGGGGGGGGGGGAGTAGAGAGATTCAGAGTCACCCTTTGGTCCTAGTTTCCATACTAAATTACTCCCTTTCTCTGTCTGAAGTCGAGGTTATGGTCTAGATCCAGCCCCACGTAGCCTTCGCAGAAATGTTCCCCCTCACTGGTACGGGATTGAAGCCGCTTAATAGTCCCCCCCCCCCAGTAAAAGTCGGTGGAAAAGGGTAAAGATCTAATTCATTATTATGGTTGCTTTTCTCAAATTTACTTGACCTGCTAGGCACATCCTGGCCCCACTCTCTGGGGGTGGTACGACATTGTGTGCAAAAGACGCTTTTATGAAAAGAGATTTCAGTTCGACCATTTCAAAATTAAAATAAAGGGATTTTGTTTGGAGATGGTCCTTGTTCCAGATTTTGAACATTGAATCGGTTGTTAAAATGAATTTGCTGACAACGTAGACAGGAAGAGGGTGTAGTTTTAAGCCAGAAGTTCAAGTAGAATGAGTCATATTTACCCGTACTTTTATGTGTATGGACTAATGAAATTGTAAAATTTTATTTTCATTCTCAGATGTCCTTGGTGCAGAGTGGATGGAGTCGTCCGATCTCGGCTCTTTTCTGGATGCTTTGGGTGACAACCATGAGCGGCTGCATCCGTTCGAGTCAAACTTGCTCGAGTTCACTTCTCTGATCACTCCTGATGATTCGACGGTGTCAAAGGACATTCTCAGCTCAACTCTTCAGTTTCCAACTCAACCAGTGAACATCCCTTTATATGCAAGTCATGGGGCCGAAGATTTCTCTGCAGAGACTGAGTTTGAGAACCACCTGTCGCCTCCAGATTCTCCGGAGCAGGTAGCCCCTGTCATAAATCTAGAACCAGTTGAACTCACTGCGAGCCATATGACGGTGATCTCACCTGATGGCTTGTTGGGTGGCATGGAACTGGCTTCAGAAAGCTTAACATTTACCGAACTAGACTTTGTGAACTTCAATGACAGTGCTGTTGGTTCAATTGGCGGTGCTGAAGAACTTCTTGGCTCCCCACTGTCAGTTGATGATGTGGAAAGTACAATATCATTTTCAGGTCCATCGTCGCCAGAAACCAGCCAGAGCAGCATCATTGAATCAAGTCCTGAATTGTACAAAGTTATCTCTACCTCGTCCATTGATGCATCTAAGCGTTTCTCTCCATACTCTCGTTCCTCCAAGTCCAAGCAATCTGTCAAGACTTCAGACGCTAAGGCACCTCGTAAAACGAGGACACCGGCGCAGCCTGTGCCAGAACATGTCATCATGGAACATTTGGACAAAAAGGACAGAAAGAAGCTTCAGAACAAGAATGCTGCCATTAGGTATAGGATGAAGAAGAAGGGGGAGGCTCAGGGCATCAAAGGGGAGGAACAGGAATTAGAAGAACTCAACACAAAGCTTAAGACTAAGGTCGATGACTTGCAAAGAGAAATCAAGTACATGAAAAATTTAATGGAAGATGTTTGCAAGGCGAAAGGTATTCAGCTTAAATAGTGGGAAGGGTTGGAAAGAAAGTGCATTGTACTTGATGAATAGATTTAGTTCTGTAACTAATAGGACCAAGAAGTATCAAGTCATGACAAGGATAATTTGTACATAATTTGCAGCTATTACTTTACATTATCATGTTATGTGTTGGATGTTGTCTTTTTCATTTACAGTAAATAAATTTTCGTCTACTATAATTTTTATTAAGGTGCTTGTGTGCATTGTAATTTGTGCTGTTTACACCAGGCAAATAGCCTGTTGGTATGTTCATTTTTAAGTGGATTGTATTGGCCTTTTTTTTTTTTTTTAGCAAAAGTTACTTGACAATTTACACCGCAGGAGGTTCTGCTCTCTACGTTGTGGTCATGGCTGTGGCGTGGGTCCTTGGAGCCTTTGATGTAGGCCCTATTATTGTTGTGAATTGTCCTCCTTGGACTTGTGAGTCGTGAGAGACAAGAGTGGCAGCATATTCACAATCACGATATAATGTTACTGGTCTGAAATTCTCAGATCCCAGGTTCAGTTTTCACAAAATGCTAGAGGCCCGCTGGTATCTTATCTTCAAGGTTGTATTACATACACTATACACACTTGCGCTGTGTGTGGTTGGCGGGTTCTCCTGTGTGGTTTGCTGCTTCTTCTTTCATATCAAACATTATGTCTAATGTCTTTATCTCCCCTCCTTTCCTGTGTTTGTTACTTTCTCTTGTAACACCTCTAATCATCGGCACTTATAGGACCTTATTGTCTTGCAAGTGCCGTAAAACACTTACGCTCCTTGTACTTGTTGTTACATTGTTGTAGACCGGAATAGTTGGCGGATGCTCTGGTGTGGTTTGCTCCTTTTCTATCAGTTCGACATCTGTCGTCCTTATCTCCCCTCCTTTTTTGTGTATGTTAACACATTACACCATAAGGGCCTGGACGGGAAGTCCATGGTTAGTCCAAAGCAAGGGGAAAGAACCCACCTCCCCTGAATACTAGCCTTTTAAAAACACATTTTAAAAATATTAAACAAATTCCAAAAATCCTGAAAAAATAAAACTTAAAAAGAAAACTGAATGTAGTTTCAGAAAAATATAACTTTATGTATGCGCAAACTGTTGGCAATGTTCTCACTTTAGTTCAATCGGGGTGTCCGACCCGTCACTCTCAGCCTCGCGGTTGGGCCCTAGATCTAAATTCTATAATTTCTCCGTCTGATAAATCGGAATCGCCCCAAACTCTTCCTACAACGTTTTCATCAAAATCTGAGCCATCTGATTTGTCACATGCTCGTTTTTGCTCAAATCCATTGTTATTTCCGTTTTCGAACTCAATTGTGTCGCTTTTCAACAAGTCGAGGCACTTTCGAAGTGTCGGTAACGCGATCGCACTTCGATCAGCTCTAATACTAAAACTACTAGCCCGAAAAATTTCGTTTCGGTATCAAACGAAAGAAGAAACTTTTTGCTATACTATGCAAATCAAAATCCCGGCCCCAGAGTCTCGTCAAGGCGAGACTTTCGTTTCTAAAGACGCTGGGTCGGCGCGGGCGAGTCAGGGTGGAGCGCGTAAGGGAATTCCCGGGCGAGTTAGGGTGTAATGTGTTAGTTCTTGTAACAAATAATCTATTCTTCTGCACTTATATGACCTTGTTGTGTTGCAAATGCCGTAAAACTATAGACCTTAATAGCAATGGCGCATTCTAGTCTCTTGTAGTATCTCGTGGACATTTTGAAATATGTACGTCCTGCTGATGCTGATATTTTTTTATGAAGACATTTTGATCGAACCTGTTGACTGCGTTTCAGTTGCATTGCATTAAGTTCCACTGACGATGTTGGCCATGATGGTGATCGTTACTGTTAATGTTAAAAATCTTTGTCACTTATTGTGACTTATTTGACCTCTGCGAAGGAGCTTTTAATTTAAATTAAAGCTTAAGTTTGAATATATTTGATCTGTTGATTGTGAATCTTGGCTTTCAGATTCAGTTTAGTTTTATCTACTTGAACTGAACGGTGAACCCATTGGGGTGTGAGACAGTGGGCAGCTCACTTTTGCTAAATTATAATAAAATTTGTATGGGTTTAACGCCCCGTCAACACTATTAGGTTATTTAAGGGGCGGGACCTCCTAGTTTAACGTCCGTCTCCGATAAGACCGAGCCAAGTGGGAAGTTCTTGTAAAGTGTCTTTCCCAAGGACACGTCGGACAGAGCTGAGGCTCAAACCCCCGAACCCGCAATCTCACGATAACGAGTCCGGTAGCTTAACCACTAGGCTACCGACGCCACCTTGCTAAACTGTGTGTGTGGAGGCTTGATACTTGTACTTACAGTTAATGCGACCTTTCTCAAGTTCTCCGGCCACTTGGACGTCGTAACTTCTTGAATGCTTGGTGTTGAAAGGATGTCTTCCAAAGCATTTTGGTTTTTGGGTTGTTTTTTTAGCTTACGGTACATTCTTCAGGTTCAATCCTGAACGCTTGGGCCATACAAGCGTCTGTGGGTGGTTGGCGGGTGCTCTCATGTGGTTTGCTCTTTCTTTCCTATCAAACATCTATCGTCCTGATTTCTTCTTTGTGTTTGTCACTCTCTTTTGTACACCTAATCTTCGGCACTTCTATGACCTAGTTGTGTTGCAAGCAAGTACAGTGGAATCCTGTTATAACGAGAGGGAGGGGACCGGTGCGAAATGTCCAGGATTCTCGTTACAAGGGATCCAGTAATAAATTCAATGGAAATAGTAAAGTAGGCCTAATCTATGAGTGGCATTCTGTTTATTCCTATAAAGTATTTCCCCTGATGATGATTTGTTCAACATGATTTCAAGGTCTTACTTTATAAAAAATCGAATCAGGTTTCTTTCTCTAGCACTAGCAATGTTGACAAATCGGCGTTGGCGATCAGAAAGAAGGGGCTCTGGTTCTAGGCTAACTCGCCCGCTGTGTTGTCCCACACCCCACCACACACTGGTGCGTTATGTCTGCTCGCACTTGTCACACATTCACTCCATCCATCTATCACAGCATTGTGACCTCTCCATCCCGCACCAGAGAAGTGAGAGGCACGGTATGACTGGGCTGGCCTATCACGCGATGCCTTCTGCTTGTGTCTGCGCATCCCACACCCTCCCTACTCAGTTGCTCCGGCCGTCAATGTTGTTCGTGGGGGCTCTCCCAGTCTTTGTTTCGCTGGATCACCGACAACTTTCTCAACTGGCAAAGTTTTATAATAATGTTTAATTGGTCTGTGCGCTGTGCACAGCAGCAGCAATATTCCGTTATAACCGACTCGCATGACAGTCTGATTGCGCCTATAGCAGTATTTTGTTTACAAAGATAAAGAAGAAGAAAAACGGGGTTTTAGAATAGTGTCTTTATAACAGACTTCTCGTTGTTTCAGGACTCGCTATAAGTGGACTCCACTGTATTGAAAACTTATTTTAAAAATAAATAAATCTGTGGTTTAATTAATGGTTGATGGTATATTGTATTCCTTTCTTTTATTTTTATCCGGGTCGTATCACTTATCAGTCAGGGTGTCGTAAATGATAAAGGAAAATAATCCGAATGCCAAATAATTTTGCTAAAGTATCTGTCCCCGTAGAATTATGCAAATTTAGAAGGCCAAATTATGCCAAAGAAAGCAAAATTATGCAAGTTACCGTAACACCATTCGTGACATGTTTTGCACTTTTTCAACTCGAATTTTCATGATTTTCATGTTTTATGTACAGAAAAATGGAAAACAGAACGTATCAGTATCACAGTAATTTGTTGTGTATTTGGAAAGAAAACAATTCACATTGGTCAGAAGAAAAAAACAACCAAAAAATATAATCTCTGTACTGTAACTCAACTGTCAGCTGTAGATCTAGATCTTGATCTATATAGAGAGGAAAGTAAAATGTAAAAAAAAAATTTTCAAAGGACATCTGGACCTCTGACTCTGATGCTGGCACATTACTAAAACCAGGGACACCTGTCAAACATGAAACTTCAGCAGATGAGAACAGCAACTTCTGATGGATTAAAAAATTGAACCTGCTCAAGGAACAAAACCAAGATCTTCTAACAAGGGAAATAACTAACTTTTCAGTTTAAAATATGTGGCTCATGACAATGACAACATGTACTTCCCTTTAGTCACATTCACATGGCGAGGCGTTAATTAATTGTTTTGTTGGAGAAAAACGCGGGGAATCCAAAATTATGCAAATGTTGCAGAATTACGCGAAAAAACAGCGGCCGCACAATCGCATAGAGGCCTACGGGGACAGAATTATGCGGGGTGCATAAAAATAAAACCACGGGGACAGTAAAAGTCTCTGGCTGAGGTGGGGATTCTGAAATGACCACAGCTACACCATAATAATAATAATTGGCACCCCACTCAAAAACATGCGCGATTTACCATCCCTAGGACGGCGGCTTAAACTTAATGAGTAACCTGTTGCATAACAATTAACATGGCAAAACCTGCACCCCCCCTCCAGAGTGTAGACTATACATGTACATGTATTGAATAATCCGTTGCATAACAGAATAACACCTGCGCAATTTTCTGTTGTTATGTATGGCGTCTCCGTCTGTCTGCGGGAGTGTTGTTGTAGCTGGCAGCGCGGAGAACATCAGAGCGTGCATTATCGAGAAAAAAACCCTATCCAAGTCCAAGCCGCGCCCTTTTTGTACGATATCTTAGAAATCTTAGAATTAGATTGCCAACTACCAAAACAGGACCCTCCGACAATTTAAGTACCGTCAGCGTTTTACTGGGCTTGGGACTGACCAAATATCAATTAGATTTTGTATTGAATAAATAGGCTTTTCAGATGAACCAACACTTCTACAGGACAGGGGCGATATTTCAAGTGTTATGTCAGCATTTTCTTGCTCATTCAGGAAAAAAAATTAAAGTTGTGAGACTTGTCCATCTGCTTACATTTGCTTGTAACGTATTGTCCCTTCTTCTTGGTGGAACCTTTCTGTTTGGTCTGTGGTTTCAGTTTAGAAATACAGTCGAACCTGCCC